AAGAAATTAGGACCAAAGTTCATAGGCCCCTTTTGCATTAAGCTGGCGGTCAATGAGGTGGCATACGAACTTGTCCTCCCTGACACACTCAAGATACACCCGGTCTTCCATGTGTCCTTGCTGAAACCAGTAATCCCTGATGCCTTCCCAGAACGAGAATCTCGACCTCCGGAGGCCATAACGGTCGAAGGAGAAGAAGAATTTGAGGTGGAAACAATCCTGAAGTGCCGAAGGAGGGGGGGTCAGACCCAATTTTTTATTAAATGGAAGGGCTATGGCCCTGAGGATAATTCATGGGAACCAGCCCATAATGTCCATGCACCCCGACTTGTCCGGAGGTTCCTTCGTGATCACCCGTGGTGGAGAGATCGGGTGGGCACCCAGAGGTTGCCCGTAGGGGGGGGGCAATGTCAGGAATCCCCGCTACGACGAGCTCGGCGCAGGCGCAGTGCACTGCCCCGTGTCAGAATGCGGGCACTGAGACCTGGCCGTCCGCGGCGAGGGAGTTCGCGCATGCGCAGTAGGGACCGCGGGCGCGCGCGTGGCACCAATGGCAGCGCAGGGCGGGATATTTAAACGGCCCTGAGCTGTCATTCAGTGCCTTCTGGTCTTTCCTTGTATCCTGTATCTGCGAACCTGTTCTAAGTAAGTTATTGACCCGGATTGTACCTGACCTTGTTGCCTTCTCCTGCCCAGACCCTTGCTTTGCCTGACCTCTCTCCTGAATGCCCTCGTTTGGATCTGACCTTCCGTTGCTGACCTGGCGTGTGACCCGACTACTCTCTGCCCGCTGCCTTGTACTGCTCCGTCCCCACTGTTACCGACCCGGCCCGTTTGACCCCGCACTTGCCCAGCCATCCATCCATCCATCCCGACGGGATCACCCGACCTCCTCACATCAGGCTCTTCCTGCGGGAGCCCCTGGCGAATACCGCTACCACTGACAGGCGTGCTCAGTAGCTACGACCTGGTCTCGGGGTACTTCAAGTCCATCCCCACCATCAGGGGCTCTGGTGAACACGTACCCTGGGGCTTAGATACCGTGCGCTGGGGACGCCTGGCCAGTGGAGTGCTAGTGGTACCGCCTGGTGGTCCCTTACAGTTTCTGTCTATTTCTGACAGTTCTGTGACATTCACTCCATACAGCGGTTTCAACCGCTGTATGGAGGGAATGTCCCAGAACTGTCAGAAATAGTCTATTTCTGACAGTTCTGGGACATGTATGGAGTGAATGTCCCAGAACTGTCAGAAATAGTCTATTTCTGACAGTTCTGGGACATTCACTCCATACAGCGGTTGAAACATTGTATCTATTTGTTTCCATAAATGACATTCTGCAGATACACTTAGAGGAGCTCTGCACATACACTTTTTGCCGGCTTGGAATTATTCTTATTTTCATCCTACTTCTTCTTCTTCTTCTTCTTCTTCTTCTTCTTTTTCATCCTCATCCTCATCCTCTTCTTCTTCTGAGGATGAGGATGAGGATGAAGAAGAAGAAGAAGAAGAAGAAGTAGGATGAAAATAAGATTAATTCCAAGCCGGCAAAAAGTGTATCTGCAGAGCTCCTCTAAGTGTATCTGCAGAATAGAGGAACTCTGCACATAAACTTTTTGCCGGCTTGGAATTATTCTTATTTTCATCCTACTTCTTCTTCTTCTTCTTCATCCTCATCCTCATCCTCTTCTTCTTCTTCTGAGGATGAGGATGAAGAAGAAGAAGAAGTAGGATGAAAATAAGATTAATTCCAAGCCGGCAAAAAGTGTATCTGCAGAGCTCCTCTAAGTGTATCTGCAGAGCTCCTCTAAGTGTATCTGCAGAATAGAGGAACTCTGCACATACTGCCGGCGTGAATTATTCTTATTTTCATCCTACTTCTTCTTCTTCTTCATCCTCATCCTCTTCTTCTTCTGAGGATGAGGATGAGGATGAAGAAGAAGAAGAAGAAGAAGAAGTAGGATGAAAATAAGATTAATTCCAAGCCGGCAAAAAGTGTATCTGCAGAGCTCCTCTAAGTGTATCTGCAGAGCTCCTCTAAGTGTATCTGCAGAATAGAGGAACTCTGCACATACACTTTTTGCCGGCTTGGAATTATTCTTATTTTCATCCTACTTCTTCTTCTTCTTCTTCATCCTCATCCTCATCCTCTTCTTCTTCTTCTGAGGATGAGGATGAAGAAGAAGAAGAAGAAAGTAGGATGAAAATAAGATTAATTCCAAGCCGGCAAAAAGTGTATCTGCAGAGCTCCTCTAAGTGTATCTGCAGAGCTCCTCTAAGTGTATCTGCAGAATAGAGGAACTCTGCACATACACTTTTTGCCAGCTTGGAATTATTCTTATTTTCATCCTACTTCTTTCTTCTTCTTCTTCTTCATCCTCATCCTCTTCTTCTTCTTCTGTGGATGAGGATGAGGATGAAGAAGAAGAAGAAGTAGGATGAAAATAAGATTAATTCCAAGCCGGCAAAAAGTGTATCTGCAGAGCTCCTCTAAGTGTATCAGCAGAGCTCCTCTAAGTGTATCTGCAGAATAGAGGAACTCTGCACATACACTTTTTGCCGGCTTGGAATTATTCTTATTTTCATCCTACTTCTTCTTCTTCTTCTTCATCCTCATCCTCATCCTCTTCTTCTTCTTCTGAGGATGAGGATGAGGATGAAGAAGAAGAAGAAGAAGAAGTAGGATGAAAATAAGAATTCCAAACCGGCAAAAAGTGTATGTGCAGAGTTCCTCTATTTCTGACAGTTCTCTGACAGCTTCTTCACATGTACAGCGGTTGAAACATCTGTATCCTAAATGGAAACTAATAGATACAATGTTTCAACCACTGTACATGTGTTCCTTCTGTCAGAGAACTGTCAGAAATAGCGGAGCTCTCTGCAGGGACACTTTTGCCGGCTGATTGGGAAAAATCCGATTCGCGCACCCGAAGTAGGCAAATATTCGGATTCGCCGCAAATCGAATTTTTCCTGAAATTCGTATCGAATTCCGGTTCGCCTGGTTCGATTTGCTCATCTCTACTTATAATGTGAGAGGAGACTGAAGGGATGAGGTGATGAGTAGAAAGATAGATTTATGTGTCATCAGCATAGAGATGGTACTTAAAGCTGTGGGAATTTATCAAGTGACCAAGAGAGGAGGTGTAGATGGAGAAGAGAAGGGGTCCAAAGACAGAACCTTGAGGGACCCCTACAGAAAGAGGAGAAAAACCAGGAGAGAGCAGAGTCTCGGAGGCCAAGAGAGCGGAGTTTTTTGAGGAGGAGGGGATGGTCAACAGTATCAAAAGCCGCAGAGAGGTCAAGTAGTAAAAGAGTACAGAGTAGTGGCCATTGGTTTTAGCAGTTAATAAATCATTAGTGAGTTTTAGTAGGGCAGTTTCAGTGGAGTGTATTGAGCGAAAGCCAGACTGTAAAGAGTCAAGAAGGTTGTTGTCAGTGAGGTAAGAGCTCAGGCGATTGTAGACTAAGCATTCTAAAAGTTTAGAGGTAAACAGGAGCAGGGAGATGGTCCTAAGTTGTTCAGGTTGGTGGGGTCCATGGAGGGTTTTTTAAGTATGGGAGTGATGTGTGTATGCTTTACAGGAGTGGGGAAGGCAACATTGGAGAGGGAGAGATTGACTATGTGAGTAAGGGAGCATAGGATAGAAGAAGAGGGTGACTGTAGTAGTTGTGAGGGACAGGATCCAAGGGCAGGTGGTGAGACGGGCTTCTGAGAAAACTTTAGTGACCTCTTCAGTAGTAGCAAGGTCAAGAGAGGAAAGTGTTGAGGGATGTTTAGTACAAGGTAAGCTAAGTGGGATAGATGTCTGTGTAGTGGAAATGCCCCTACGAATTGCATCAATCTTGTTTTTTAAATGATTTGCAATCTCGTAGGCAGTGAGTGAGGTACTGGGTGGAGGTGGATTAAATATGTATTTATTCAATTCTCCTGATCATAGGCACAGCAAATACAAAACTCTATTGTAGAAGTAGCACAGTACAATTACTATACAAATGAATACAGGAGGGATCAGAGGGTCCTGCTCTTTAGAGCTTACAATCTAAGCAATCTAGAGGCTTCTAGAACATAGGGGGCTGGAAGAGTCAAATGGGCAGCTTGAATATTTATTTTGCTGCAGCCAATCCCTGGGGAGATGTAGGTGGGGGCATAAATAATTTGGGGTCTGGGGCAGCCCTGCTCTTGTCCTTCTGGGGAAGTTCCAAGCCTCAGGGGCTATTGCCCCTTTCAGGCAATTTGCTGGAGTTGCTGAAGTTCCTCAAGGTCCTAGCTGTGGCAGAGCTGGGGGCCTATTCCTGATAAACTTTAGGGCTAGCCAGCAGTCCAAGCTAAGGATTTGGTCTGGAGGACTCACTGAAGAGTGCCAGGTGGAAGCTGGAAAGTGCATAGCTGTCCTGTGGCACTGTGAGTATTATCTCCTCCCTCATTGAAGAGTGTTTGGTGGAAGTTAGGAACTGAGCAGTTGTACTAAAGCATAGAGGTACCTGAACTGGAGGAGTTCAGCTGTCCTAGTGAGACATTGTGAGAATAGACCTGAGCTCAAGGTCCAAGTAACTGTGTGCTGCTTTTGAAGGATAAATTCCAGCAGTAGCTCTTTTTAAGACAGCTCCTACAGGGTCTCAGTTCGGGCCATAACTATTACCCTTGGCAGATAGACTCTTTAGAGAAGCCTAGCCTAGTTAAGAGTGTCCTCCAGACACTATTCAGCATAACTTGAGTATCCCATACCACCCTCATCCATTCCCCATCCCAAGTTCTACAGGCAATAAATACTAAAAAGACAACCCCTAGATTGTTGTTTTGTAGCCAGAGTGAATGGACTGTTGCTTGTGTGACTGGTGGTTCCGTACTGTCGGGGAATAAACTAAATAAATATCAGAGGCTTCTACGGGAGTAGCGCTACATATATATTTTCACTTTTTCTCTTTTGAGAAATGTGGCAATGTCAATATTCTCAATGTATGGACAACTGTGCATAATGCATAGCAAACCAGACATACTTACTGTAAGAGTCACATTTCCAGATTTTGGGTCAACTTCAGTGCTGCCACTTCCAATGCTTAGGACAACTATGAATTTTTCTTGAACTTCGATCTCTCCATGAGGCAGAATAGTTAGGGTAATAACCCTTATTCCCCCTTCTCCATCATCATAATGAAAAGATCCATTCAAAGGTCCACTAAAATCATCGCTGCCAGGTGACAGGATGGTCTTGGAATTAGGTCCCAATATATGCCATAATACCTGAAGAATAATATTGCAAAGAAGTAGTATCGATGGGTATAATGCACACATATACATATATAAAAAAAATAAGCATTGCAGTTTAACAAACACAGTAGCAGTCAAATGACTGCCATTGTTTTTCCTTAATCACTGAGCAATGTACTTGTAGTTACTGCAGTGAAACAGGTTGTATTACTGCTTTGGAGACTATCAACCTAACTTTTGAATTGATTGATGAAGCATTAAAGATACATTAGGTTTTGTATTGATGTCCGTGCCCCCACTGGGCAGATTTCCCCTCAGACAGAAAAACAGTGATAAAAACAATTTTTTTTATGTTTTCTTAATAATGCATGCCTGGGCAATAGAAGAAAAACATATCTGGCACATTCCTGCAATACATTTTCCTATGCTTCATGTCTTGAAAAACACTACAAGTACAGGAAAAACCCATTGATCTGCCACATATTCAGTGTGTTCTTGACTCCTTGTTTTGGAAGACAACACAGTAAACTCCCCAGCAGTGTTGTCAGCCCTACCCAGTTCTCTTTTGCTGGTCTACAGAACACTTCCCCCACTACTTATTGCCAAAATATATAGGGGTAAGTGTTCAGTAGTGCACAGAGGTGAACTGATAATACTGCTTGAGATTTTAGAGCAGAGGAAGAGGAAGAGGAGGTTAGGTGCTTACTGGATTTCTGGCAGATCAACGGGTATTTTTCTGTACTTGCAGCTTTTAAAGAAATAAAACATAGGGAATGTCAAGGTATGTATTATTTTCTGTGTAAACACTGGGAAAATTTCCTATTATCATCACTTTCTATTTGAGGACTTTGTTTTATTAGCTCTGGTTCACATTGGTGCGACTTGTCGAGCGATTCGACCATTTCAAATCGCATGACAAGTTGCATCCTATTTGTGCATATGGAACCATTCAAATTGATGCAACTCCGACTTTGCCTTGCCTCATTGATTTGGAAAAAAGGTTCCTGCCCTATTTTTTGCAATTTCATGTGCAACCAGCAAAGACATCTGTGCATAAAGTCGTCCCATCCAATCACTTTCTTTTCCCCTGACAGTAATCACTGGGACAAACAGAGCTGTTAGATCCTGACACTGGACAGGTTGCCCACAGGACAGGTAGGAAGACCCAATTATTTCCAGTGACTCCCTGAAGAGACATCGCTACATTTGATTTTGTCGTCATAGCTTTTAAACTAAAAAAGGGTCAACCGGCTTCCTTAGAATGCAGTAATGAAAAATGTCAAAATGATGAAGTTTTTAGAAAAAAAAATACAGAAATTAGAACCCAGTTTTATTTCATTAAATTATTTCCATGTTTACTTTCCAACTTAAAAAAATTAGCACTTTTCACCTCCAAGTGTGAATATACATAACACTTCTGAGAAGATTAACACATAAACACAAGCCGGGAAGTGTGATGCTGAGTCTGGCCATTTGCGGAAAGAACCATGTGTTTGCACTGTAGTCATTAGTGGTACTACACAACATACTATGTACATAGTGTTCACATAAAGAAGACATTATCAGCTGAGTCAATAGCAGGAAATTAGACCTCTGCAGAAAATGTACCATGCAACATGATATATGGAAACAGAGGCAGATATGCTATATATGCAGTATGGACAGTTGTACTTATAGCAATATGTACCCTGCAGGGTTGCTACTTCTCAAAACAAATCCTTCAAAAGTTATTTTAGATTACAATTATTAATGTAGGTTTGTTGTCTCAATTGAACAATTAATATAACGCAACCTGTTATTATTTAGGCTATAGCCCAAGTTGGACAGTGCACCAAGCTGTACTTACAATTAGTGCAGTATGTGTGCAGGGACAATTCCCCAAAACACAGACTGCTTTTCACACCTCCCAATATGTAGTCAGTGGCATTAATGGCTCAGGCAGTATGCTGTAAATAGCAAACATGTACAGATAAGAATGCAGATAGGGAAATACTCTTGGTGACTTAAGTCATCCCATACTGTTCATCATCTTGATGGGCTACAGCAATATGGTGAAGAAGATATTGCCTTTTTTTCATCTCTCCATCTACTGAGATACTGATGTTATGCTGCACCATTCTTCTCTGACCAGCAGGAGGAGAGCTAAAGCCAAGTTAGTCCATAGACTTCTATACAGTGTGTTGAGAATGCTGGAAGTTGTAGTTTTAAGACGGCAGCCATATAATGGGATGAATAGGCTCATAACATTACAGATACCAATAGGTAATGTGCAGTAGGAGGAGTGGAGGGATTATTTTTATTAACCTGCCCGGGAATGTTCTTCATCTTGCACCAAGGGAAATCATCCTTATCTGGTTATGCACCTGCCAGTGGGAGACCATATCAGCAGAGATCTGAGCCTGAGACCGGGAGTGAGGACACCCAGGGATATTGTAGCCATGTCCACATCACAGTACCTGCACCACTGCTGCAGGGAGACTGGAGCATCCACTCACCCTCTTCCTCCCACCACTGATCACCAGGGGCTTTCAGGGAGAAACCAAAGGCAACCTCCCTTTTACAGTGAGAGGTCACTGCAGCATCCTGGGGACTGGTGAGAGGGCTGTTCGTTCATTGCTGATACTGCTAGCGGCACTGAACCACTGAGAGCAGGACACCAAGTATACTGCACCTATTTCAAACCTAGACTGCACCTAAACCAACCCTACTGTGTATTATACTGAACCTTTACTGCATCTGAACCACCCCTACCTTGCACCTGTGCTGAGACTATACAGTACCTACAGTATCTCACAGAAGTAAGTGCACCCCTCACATTTTTGTAAATATTGTATTATACCTTATCATGTGACAGCACTGAAGAAATGACACTTTGCTACAATGTAAAGTAGTGAGTGTACAGCTTGTATAACTGTAAATTTGATCTTCCCTCAAAATAACTCAACACACAGCCATTAATTTCTAAACCGCTGGCAACAAAAGTGAGTACACCCGTAAGTGAAAATGTCCAAATTGGGCCCAAAGTGTCAATATTTTGTGTGGCCACCATTATTTTCCAGCACTGCCTTAACCCTCTTGGGCATGGAGTTCACCAGAGCTTCACAAGTTTCTACTGGAGTCCTCTTCCACTCCTCCATGACAACATCATGGAGCTGGTGGATGTTAGAGACCTTGCGCTCCTCCACATTCAGTCTGAGGATGCCCCACAGATGCTCAATAGGGTTTAGGTCTGGAGACATGCTTGGCAAGTCCATCACCTTTACCCTCAACTTCTTTAACAAGGCAGTGGTCACCTTGGAGGTGTGTTTGGGGTCTTTATCATGTTGGAATACTGCCCTGTGGCCCAGTCTCCGAAGGTAGAGGATAATGCTCTGCTTCAGTATGTCACAGTACATGTGGGGGGGCCCAAGTCTGGAGATAGTCTGCACCTACTGTGGGGGAGCCTACCGCTTATTCTTAGGGGAGACTGGAGTCCGGGAGATAGCACTCTGAGGCAGAGCGCTCACACTGTCACTGCCATTACAACACAGCGATTCCCCAGCCCATTGCTGCAGATGACTGGAGGAGAAAAGTCAGCTGATGGGCAGTAGACATGAAGAGGAGAAGCTTGCCACTGTGCTCAGAGACCCAAGAGTGAGAGAGGCATCAATGGAGGCACACACATGAGGGAGCAAGAATCCAGAGACAGATGGATACACTGACACACTAAGAATAAGTGAATGCCAGTGCCACTGATCTCAGCAACCCTGCTGCCTCAGACTGATCCCAAACCTCCCCCAGGGCCCCCACCACTGCATCTGACTGATCCCCCCCCCCCCCCAGGGCCCCCACCAAATCTGATTGATTCCATCCCTCCCCCAAGACCCCGACCACCGCCGCTGACTGATCCTATCCCCCCCCCCCAGGCCCCCCACCATCACCTCTGACTGATCCCTTCCCTCCCCCCAGGGTCCCCACCACCACCTCTGACTGATCACACCCCCCCAGGGCCCCCACCACCACCTATAACTGATCCCACCCCTCCCAGGGCCCCCACCACTGCCTCTGACTGATCCCATCCTCCTAGGGCCCCCACTACCACCTCTGACTGATCACATCCCCCCCAGGGCCTCCACCACTGCATCTGACTGATCCTACCCCCCAAGGATCACCACCTCTGACTGATCCAACCCCCCCAGAGCCCCCACCCTCCACCGCATCTGAGTAATCCCACCCAGGGCCTCCACCACTGCTTCTGACTGATCCTATCTCCCTAGGGCCCCCACCACTGCCTCTGACTGATCCAACCCCCAAGAGCCCCTAACCACCACCACATCTGACTGATCCCATCCCCCCCAGGGCCCCTACCAACACCTCTGACTGATCCCATTCCCCCCAGGGCCCCTACCACCACCTCTGACTGATCCCATCCCCCCAGGGGTCCCCCACAGCCTTTGACTTGTCCCATTTCCTCAGGGCCCCCACCACTGCATCTGACTGATCCCAACCCACCCCCACTACTGCCCCTAACTGATCCCATTTTCCCCTACCACCACCGCTGCCTCTGACTGATCCCATCCCCTCTCCCATAGCTGCCTTTGACTGATCCCATCCTCCCACCACCACTGCTGCATCTGACTGATCCCATCCCCCCACCATCACCGCTGCCTCTGACTGATCCCATCCCCCCCACAATCACTGCTGCATCTGACTGATCCTCCCACAACCATCACCCTACCTCCATTGCCTCTGACTGATCCCATCCCCCCCACCATCACCACTGCCTCTGACTGATCCCATCCCCCCACCAATTGCTCCACTTCCACTGATCCCTTCCCTATCCCCCCTCCCCAATCACCTCTGCCATTGACCCCCCCCCCCCCCCCCACCAGCATCACTGCTGCCACTGAACCACCCACCAACAATGAAACTGATACCATCACCCACCACCACCACTGCTGCCACTGATCCTATTTCCCCCCACCATCATCACCACCACCACTGCTGCCACTGGTCCCATCCCCCCAAAACCCTCAGTGGACTGATCCCATCCCCACCACCACTACTGCCGCTGATCCTGCCTCAACCTGCCTTCCCTCCCACCACCACCACCACTGCTGCCACTGATCCCATCTACCCACCATCATCACTGCCAATGATCTCATCTCCCCCTCTCTCCCCAGCACTGCCACTGATCCCATTTCCCACACAGCACTGCCACTGCTTTTTTTAAAAAAGAGTCCTAAAAAGGACAGTTAGGTCTGTGAAGCTGTGCACACCAGGGAATACACAAGGGGATGTATCTTACCGCTCTGCAATCTACAATACAGTACTCAGTCAAACAGATGTTAGGACAAACATGTTTTTGAGTGAGGAATTACAAAAAGGATTGGAATTTTGTGAGTTCAAACAAAAAAGGAATCAAAATAGTGGTATAAACAACAAATATTTCTTAGATTTAACTGTAATATTAAAAAGATTGGTTCATCAAATGCATAAACCAATTGTTTCGATATTTCAGTTAATTCTAAGAATTATTAATAAATGTATGATAAGCATATGGTTGGGAGCTGCTGTCAACCGGTATTCTGCATTTCTCTGCATTTGCTAAAGTAATTTTTAATATCAAAACAAACTGAGTATCAATATGATCAGGATCTTGCTGAAGACGCTGCCATCTTTTACTTTATGCTGTGTACATATGTACCTATTTCCAGGTACATCTGGGATTTCACATATACGCAGCCATGACACTCTTCCACGTAGATCAAGCATGTCAGTAATTTCTCCTTTTTGACTGATGACAGGTGTAAAGTATCCCACTTCCTGAGCAACGTGTATATTTATAGGACAGACTTACACTCACAAGGTATTTATTTCCCGCTCATGTTCTTGGCACTACTTACACTTCACAACCTTCACATTGTATAAAGAGGCAGTTTAAAACAATACACTCAGTACTAGCCTTCCTATTTAGACATGTATTTGTTAAAGAAAACAATACATTATGTACTAATTCTTCTATACACAAACACTTTTAGAAATATGCTCCAAGGCGGAAATGACTAAGATAGTAAGGACGTATTATACTCACAACAGCATGTTCCTTCTACATTTACAACCTGTTATGCTAAATGACAAAAAATGAGCTGGCTGCTAGACTAAGTGGGACGATATATATATATATATATATATATATATATATATATATATATATAGTATTCTTTTTTTTTATATAGTATACACTTCTTTAGGAATATATACTTATATGCAAATGATAAGTACAAACAATAATTTCAAAGACAACACATCAAGGGTGAATTAACCAAACAAATGCTATATTTACTCTAAACATCAAATCATTATATATGAAATGCTTATTTTTTTTATCTCCTCTGCATGTAAGTGGGTGTTCAAAGTGAAATGAAAAGTGAATTATGTAGTTTTAATGAATTTTCCCCTGTGGCAATTATATCAACCAAACAGCTAACAAAAAACTTTTTTTTGCTGTTTTACTATGCTATTAGTAGTCACCAGCTATCAGTGTTATCTTGGCTTTATAGCAAAACTCCATACAGTTTATTACATGGTTACATCAACCTGTATTTGACCCATACTAGGCAAAGTAACTATTCATTTATAGGAAGAACTTTTAGCAGGTTCTGTTTTCCTTCTCAGAGCTCCTTCATTTCCCCAATGAAAACTAGATTTACATCATGGGAGCCTGTAGGTCTAACACCCCTCTGCTATGATCACCTCTTGTACACGGAACAGTTCTTTGTTTTTCTGGTATTGAATAATATGATAAGGAGTAAATAACCTTATATGAGAAGACAGTTCCTACTGATGATGGGAATAAATGTGTAGCCAGTAATTATAAAGGGAAAAGTGGCCTCACTATACCAAATGGTAAACCCAGCCTTGACCTAATGCACCATCCCATAGAGAGATTCCTTTATAGGTTTAAGCAAGGTAAAGCATACAAAAAGCTATGCCTGTTACCTTCCAACAAACAACATGATGGCAGTCAGGGCTGGCTATTGTCCACTCAGGTCTAAAATTTAAATTAAACATTGAGAGGAGGTAGGGAAGCATCAATTGCTCCCCTACATCCAGGAATACCAGATATTTCTCATGTGGTCTGATGATATAACAGGTTGCAGGGAAGTGTTGGATACATAAGAGCAACCTGTTTAAATTTCCTTCTGTAAGGTGAACCTGTCATTTTGCCCAGTACAAGGAAAGGGCATGTTCCTTTTAAAAACACTGCTCATTACCCTATTCAGTAAAGCAAATGTAAGTGCATTAATGCATTATTTGGACCTTTGTACACACAAAATGTATGCAACTGATATCATTACCTGGGCTTCTCCCATGTGTCCGCCTGTCCTCTCAAGCGCTAGCGATATAGTGATGGTCACATTGGGATTTGGAAGGGTTATTTGACTTTTGTTAAGAAATTTCACAGCTCCATTTGGGGAGTCACTTTTTGCTATTGTAATAAATGTCAGGAGGTGTGCACCCAAAACAGCGCCTCCGCTTGCTCCCACAAGGCGAATCTCAAATTGCTCTGCAAATTCACTAAAAACAACAAAAAAAATGTACAGTGATATTTACTAATGCGTATGATGGTGTGAAGCTTCTTGATAATATTAAAAGGGCTAGTTATTAAAAAAAAACCTGTAAAATGAGTTGTCCACAATTATCAGATTCCTTGGTTCTTGTGCCCAGAGGATAAAAGATAAAACTTGATTAGTTGCTATTTCCAAAAAATATTGTTCTTTCTGTTTCCTTTTCACACGTTTGGTATCACTAACCTCCTATATATCCTAGAGTATAGTCCCAAGTGGAACTTATAGAGGTTTCTTCAAAATTACAGTGTAACGTGCACTAACCTATCATAGCTAACTGGAATTAATTTCTTTAATCATGTGGATACAGCAAACTCAGATTTGATGGTTTGTTGTCAGTTTCTGTATTCTACATTTACTAGGGCCAATCATTTCCCACCTTTTTTTCTCTACATTGCACTTGCTGCCAAAAGATGCCAAACATGAAATGCAATACATATAGCTATGGTAAACATACACTGTTGGGTCTATTTTTAAATGTCTTTACACAAGATTATACAACGTTCACCCAACATTCACATATTATTCTTTTTGATTCACTTGGACAAGTGTACAAATTTTGGTTGAAAGTTATAAATCTTTGTGAAAATATATATAAAAATAAACCCCTAAATGTATAGCACACAGTCCTACAGTCTTTACGTGTCCTATTAATGAAGGCTGCCACAAAGTACTTTTATATCTAAACTGGAAACTTTACAAAATGAAACATTTAAACAATCTACTGCTCTTTGTTTACCCACTAGCCTACAGGGAACTTATACCCCCTTCCTGCCCAGGCCAATTTCCAGCTTTCAGCGCTGTTGCACTTTGAATGACAATTGCGCGGTCATGCAACACTGTACTCATATGAAATTGTTATCATTTTTTTATGACAGATAGAGCTTTATTTTGGTGGTATTTAATCACCTCTGAGTTTTTTATTTTTTCTTAAACAAACCAAAAACCACAGAAAATTTTGAAAAAAAAAAGTTTTTTCTTAGTTTTTGTTATAAAATTTTGTAAATAAGTGATTATTCTCCTTCACTGATATGCGCTAATGAGGCTGCAGTGATGGGCACTGATAGGCTGCATTGATGGACACTGATAGGTGGCACTGATGGGCGCTGATGAGGCACTGTTAGGTGGCACTGATGGGCATTGACAGGCATCACTGATGGGCACCGAAAGGCAGCACTCATATATGGCACTGATAGGCGGCACTGATAGGTGGCACTGATAGGCGGCACTAACTGGCACTGATAGACGGCACTGACTGGCACTGACTGGCACTGTTAGGCGGCACTGATAGGCAGCATTGACGGGCACTGATAGGCAGCACTGACAGGCACTGATAGGCGGCACTGATGCACACTGATAGGCGGCACTGATTGGCAGCACTGATAAGTGGCACTGACTGACACTGATGGGTGACACTGAAAGGCAGCTCAGATGGGCACTGATATGTGGCATTGATGTGGCACTGAAATGTGGCACTGATGGGCACTGGCAGGTGGCATGGATGAGCACTGAGAGCTGGCACTGATGGACACTGACTGGTGGCGCTGCTGGGGCTACACAGATCATCAGGGCACACTGATCATCAGTGCTCTGATGATCTGTGTACATGTCCCCTCCGAGGAATGCCGATTACCGGCTTTCCTCTCCTCACGAGCTGTCAGCATGACAGCTCGTGGGGAGAGAGATGCCAATAACTGGCATTTCCCTGTTTACATGTGATCAGCTGTGATTGGACACAGCTGTTCACATGACCGAGCCGACATCTTCGGCTCTTTCCATGGATCGGTGATCCGCTGTGTCCGAGGGACACAGCGCACCGCCGATCGTCGTGCTGTGCGCTCTGGGAGCCACGAATTCGCGGTTAGAATGGGAGGAGAGAACCACCTTGCGTCCGTCATATTACTATATGGTGGGCGGGAGGCGGTTAAAGCTTGTCTAAACCCTAATCAAAAATTAAATATAATGCAGCTTTTTAGTGCCATTTTAGTGGCACTTGGCAGGAACGTGCCGACACTTTTGAGCGCCCCCGTTTAATAAAATATTCCAATAATATAGCTACTGCAATGTTTGACTTACTATTTTAAATTTCAGGAACCATTACATATTTCCAGAAGTGTTGCTGGTGGTTGCAAATTTCCCAAAACCCAAGTTAGACTGAAGAAAATGTGTTTAGTGCCATGCATTTGTATTTGTGTTTTTGTACTATTGTTTTTTGCATCTCTGTTTTCTATGCCTCTATCTAGGCTTCCTTAAATATCTTCTCCTAATCTATATCTATTTTACATCTTTACACATGCAAAAGGCCCAAGACCAGACTCTGGGGTTGATTCACTAAAACTGGAGAGTGCAAAATCTGGTGCAGCTCTGCATAGAGACCAATCAGCTTCCAGTTTTTTTTGTCAAAGCTAAATTGAACAAACTGAATATAGAAGCTGATTAGCTACCATGCAAAGCTGAAGAAAATGTGTTTAATGCCATGCATTTGTATCTGTGTTTTCTATGCTTCTATCTATGCTTCCTTAAATATCTTCTCCTAATCTTCTATATCTATTTTATCTCTACACACAGAGAGTGCAAAATCTGTTGCAGCTCTGCTGCAATCAGCTTCTAGTTTGTTTTTGTCAAAGCTTAATTGAAGAAACTGAAGATAAAAGCTGATTGAGTACCATGCAAAGCTGCACCAGATTTTGCACTCTCCATTTTTAGTAAATCAAACCCTTTGTTTAAATAAAAAAAAAACATGATAATATATATTATCATTCAGAATTTATTATTTACCTTTCCTCATCATCAATAATACTGATGTTGATAAAGCTCTGATTTTGCCCATGCAGGAACACTACTGTAGTATTAAAGTCTGCAAAGTCTATACCAGCAGTGGCAGAAATGCTGTGGAAGATCAAATCAGCTGTGACATAGCCATATGTTCCACGTGTTCTTAGCACAGGAATCAACATCACTCCAACATCTTCTTCCACTACAAAATAAAGCACGATAAACATTGTATGCTTACACACTGGTCAATCAGTTAATATTATGATTTTTTTTGGACATTGTAGGAGTGGTGAATGAAGAAGAAATGAAGAAGGAAAAAAGTAAAACAGCACCCCCACATCTAGACCTTGATAAAAAAAAAAACATCTGGTGCACCCTACATATTTAATTTGTGTGATCTTCAGCATTCAAAGCTATAATATATGAATCACATGCCTGTTCCTACTGGAGCAACATTATATCATGTTATATCAGGCCATTTAGGAATTTTCTTACTTTCTGACAGGCAGACAAGCATGTTGTGGTACACTACATGTATCATAAAAGCCAATAGAGTGCTCATGAGCTATAGAAGCTGAAAACAGTAAGGAGTTATTTACAAAACTATGCAATGACACATAAATGATAAATTACCTTGGATTACAGTAAACTGTGGATCAAACTCGATAACTCCTTCTGCATTGTCGTTAGGAAGAATAATGATTCGTACCACTGAATTGTTTCCTATAAGAGGAGGCTGATCTATCTGTAGCCCATTTTCTCTAATTGTATGGTCATAGCTCCTGTACAAAGAAAAATATTACTATATACATATTCTACTAACGATAACATAAAATAAGATAAAAATACCAAGTGTCGGTTAGATTGATCAGGTATTTGGCACCTATGTCCCTGTAGTTTTCACAGAAAACTCCACTTTTGTAAAAACAATGTTCCAATATACAGTATAATTGCTCAACACACTAATTTTTTATTTATGTTAAATAAAAATTACCCTTTTTTTGCAGGCAGAAAAGCCCAAAATTTGAATGCTGCTTTCTTACAACCAAGGAAACCACTGCAACATTGGAAGAGAACCATCCCTAGATTGTACAGCAGTGAGTCTGTGGTGGACAGCACTGGAATCAGTGCAAAAAGTGCAAACAGCTTCTTTTATTTAAATTTAGGAGTTAAAAAATTATTCATTATTTCTTAAATTGTTCTGTCTGTTGGGGGATATATAGAATTGTATGTCCATGTCCAAAGTTTACATAGGGAAAATAAAGAGAGAATATAGACATAGGATAGGAGAACACCTTGCCAGTATAACAGGCAAGGATGATGAGTTCCCAATAGCAGTTCATTTCGAACACAATCACAGTTCATCCCTGAAAGAGATAAAATTTGCCACCATTTATCAGTTATCACTGTCAGAAAGAAGGGGGGACAAGGACAAAGTCCCTGCAAAAAGATGCAAGATGGATGTTTTGACGTACAATGAGCCCCCATGGATTTATAAATGAGTTATCATTGCAGCCATTCTTATGAAGATAGAGGTCTTGATACATATTTCTCAATAGATGGGCACAAATAGGGGTGATGTTTAAATATTCCCCAATTTAGGGGTATAGTTGATATGGATTTGGCGAGATTCGCCTTTAACCTCAACTTTGGGTTGCCTGACAGGTTGGCCACTTTTTGTAGAGTGGCACCCACACTGAGCCCATCTAGAGCATAATGTACGCGGGGAGGTGGCTTTAAGAGGCACAATATAGCCCTGACAGTGGAGATATATAGTGTTAGCCATGGACCAATCCCTGACTAAGCCCTGAAGAAGTCCCTGTCAGTGTGAGGGGCGAAACATGTAGGCGTCGGGGATTACGCTCTCTCCCTCTCCAGGAACCAGACCCACAGAGATGCTTGGAGTACACGCCGACTTCCATGATACACTCTTATCAGCAGCAAGATACAAAGACACTGCATCCAAGCAGTACATGAATACTACAATTGATGGCCACATTAAGGAAGAGGAGCTTTAGAGCACTGAAGAACAACTGGTAAGATTGCTTCAGTTATCATTTCATTGCCATGAAATGCAGTCTTTAATGATATCCACCCGTATTGAGCAGCTTGCACACTGTGGGTAAATCAGCTGTCATACAAAGGAGGACTAGTCACATGATAGGCTGGATCCAGTGGTCTCCTTTCGGGTGTTTGTATAGACTGTCGGCTGCTACATTGCTGTGATTTAAGTTCAGGCAACAGTATTGAAGTGGTACAGTGCTCACCTACACTGCGTATACACTGATACCCCACCACTATTACCTGGGATTTACATCTGCCATCAAGCTTCATTACATTGGAGAGCTATACAGGTGGGACCTAGATGAAGGACTATAGGCATTGAGTATAGCAAGAGATATTATACAGTTGCAAGAAAAAGTATGTGAACCCTTGGGATTACGTGGAGTTTTGCATGAATTGGGCATAAAATGTGCTCTGAACGTCATCTAAGTCACAACAATAGAAGAACACAGTCTGCTGAACATAATACTACACAAACATTAGATGTTGCCATGGTTTAATTGCACATAACATGTAAACATTCACAGTCCAGGGAGGAAAAAGTATGTGAGGCCCTAGCTTAATGACTTCTCCCAGAGCTAATTGGAGCCAGGAGTGAGCCAACCTTGACTCCAATCAGTGTGATGATATTGGATGTGTTGCTGACAGCTGTCCTGCCCTTAAAAAACACACACCTGTTTTGGGTTTACTGGTTTCAAGAAGCACTGTCTGATGTGAACCATGCCTCGCAGAAAAGACCTCTCAGAAGACCTACGATCAAATATTTTTGACTTGCATGAAGCTGGAAAGGGTTACAAAAGTACCTCCAAAAGCCTTGATGTTCATGAGTCCACGGTAAGACAGACTGTCTACAAATGGAGAAAGTTTAGCACTGTTGCTACTGTCCCTAAGCGTGGTCGGCCTGTAAAAATGACTGCAAGAGCACAGCGCAGAATGCTGCATGAGGTAAAGAAGAATCCCAGAGTGTCAGCTAAAGACCTACAGAAATCTCTGGCACCTGCTAACATTTTTGTTGACACATCTACAATAAGGAAAACATTAAACAAGAATGGAGTACATGGGAGAATACCACGGAGGAAGCCATTGCTGTCCAAAAAGAATATTGCAGCACGTTTGAAGTTTGCAAAAGAGCACCTGGATGTTCCACAGCACTACTGGCAAAATATACTGTGGACAGATGAAACCAAGATTGAGTTGTTTGGGAAGAACACACAACACTATGTGTGGAGAAAAAAAGGCACAGCACACCAACATCAAAACCTCATCCCCACTGTAAAACATGGCAGAGGGAGCATCATGGTTTGGGGCTGCTTTGCTGCCTCAGGGCCTGGACGGATTGTTGTCATTGATGGGAAAATGAATTCCAGAGTTTATCAAGACATTTTGCAGGAAAACGTACGACCATCTGTCCGCCAACTGAAGCTCCGCAGAGGATGGGTGATGCAACAGGACAATGACCCAAAGCATACAAGTAATTCAAGAAAACAATGGCTGCAACAGCACAGAATACGCCTTCTGGAGTGGCCCAGTCAGAGTCCTGACCTCAACCCGAATGAAATGCTGTGGCATGACCTTAAGAGAGCGATTCACACCAGACATCCCAAGAATATTGCTACACTGAAACAGTTCACATACTTTTTCTTGCAACTTTAGTGCACATGCTCCATGGGCTTGTACACATCTTTGTGTTAGTTGGACAGCTAATATCCATACGTGGACTTGCGATGTCTACCCCAGTTTGGGATCCTTTTTGCGGTTGTGTTCCACTATACCACAGGAGGGGGGAACTAAGGATTATAGGGTGTTATGGATGGTCAGTTTTTTTGGGGTAGATAGGGGGGTTCTGTGTGAAGGGGCCTTTTGGGGGGGATTCTTAGGCAGGTGGTCGTGAGTATACATTGAGATGTTTGTCACTTTTATTTTTACATCTAATTTAATAAACACTGCCTTTTAGTAGCCTGTGAGGTGCTTTATCCTTGTGGTGTTTGTTATATGTATACAATATTTTCTGGATGCATCTCCCCTTAATCAGGGTTAAGCACTGGCAGGATTACCAATCCCAGAGTATGGCATTTTTGCAGGGATTTCTTTAAATCTGGAAGTATTCATTGCCAAAGAGGGCAGCTAGGTTTAGCGGGTGGCTTGACTATTCAAGTTCCATAAATGCACAGATCATTGATCTGGATTTAGACTTGGGCATTAAATCTCTCAATGGCAAAGAGGTTTTATCACTAGAATAGTTCTAACCTTAATTTTCATTAATTATCTGTGTGAGTGCTAAATAAAATACTCATGTTTACATTCATTTTCTAATTTCCAAGCTTCATGATTAGCAAACTCAGATGCCATTCCAATATATTTCAACTTGACAAATGGATCTTATTCTTCCAGCTGTAGCCCTTGATCACCCACTTATACACTGCCTTGGATTCCAGGAGGATCGTGCCTATGAGTAACTTAATACAGCCACGCACAAGTAAAGTGCCAAGTGAGTACCTGCTATGATTACTGTGTTAGAAAGCAACGGTAAGCAAGTAGGTGAAAAGGATGTAGGAGATTATGAAGATGCCTCTTTTCGATAGGCAAAATAAATTGTAAGTTTGTAACTCCTTTTTTAGGTATAAACAATTTGGCATTGTGCTAAATGTCTTACCTTCCTACAAGTTTCACCTCTGTGATGATAGCAAAAAAATCCTCTGGACCTTCTGGTAGAACATCATTTTTTATCTCTATTGAAAGAACTTTCATTGTTTCATTTGGTCTAAACAGGAGTTCTCCAGAAGTAATTGTATAATCCAAGCCACTTAGTGCTGACCCATTCTTGGTTTGATATTTCAGCTGAACATCTCCATATCTTCCACCTATTCGGGAGATTGTTGTGTTTACCTAGTTATAATACAAATAAATAATTAGGGGCTGATTCATTAAACATGAATAAAAGAAATTAAGAACAAAATTGGAGCTGTTGTCAAAAGCTACCAATCAGATTTTGCCTTTGATTTCATGAAAAACTGAAACAACAATTCGTATTGACAACAATTCCATTTTTAAGATCTTTTTGTTTTTCGATGTGATGAGTAGAGATGAGCGAATTATTCAAAAATTCGATTAGGCTGATTCGTCGAATTCGCGGAATAAATTCAATTCGAGGCGAATATATTCGCTGCTGCGAATTTAACGTGTAAAAAGGGTGTTTCTAGGCTTCAGAGAGCCTTTATATTAGTGCAGAACACTGTACCTTTAATTTAAATGCCCTTGGAGTCTGCTGGGGAAGAGAAATAATACTGTCAGTCAGTATGACATGCAGATGAGTGCCGTCGATCTTAGAATCACCGCACACTTCACTCATTTGGGCAGTCACGGGGCCAAAACCAGAGTGTGGAGCCACAGTGTGGCGGTGGAGGCAGCAGCAATGGGAGGCCATACAGCACCCTATGACAAAATGGAACCCACCAGCAGTGTGAGGAGACCTGAAAGTGAAACATGGCAGAGTGTGGCGATGGAGACAGCAGCAATGGGAGGCCGTACAGGGACCCATGACACACTCTGGACCTGGCAGCAGCATGAGGAGGCTGTACAGGGGCCCATGACAGATTACGGGCCTGGCAGCAGCAATGGGAGGCCATACAGCACCCTATGACAAAATGGAACCCACCAGCAGTGTGAGGAGACCTGAAAGTGGCACATGGCAGAGTGTGGCGATGGAGACAGCAGCAATGGGAGGCCGTACAGGGACCCATGACACACTCTGGACCTGGCAGCAACATGAGGAGGCGGTACAGGGGCCCATGACAGATTACGGGCCTGGCAGCAGCATGAGGAGTCGGTACGGGGGCCCATGGCAGATTACGGGCCTGGCAGCAGCAATGGGAGGCCATACAGCACCCTATGACAAAATGGAACCCACCAGCAGTGTGAGGAGACCTGAAAGTGACACATGGCAGAGTGTGGCGATGGAGACAGCAGCAATGGGAGGCCGTAAAGGGACCCATGACACACTCTGGACCTGGCAGCAGCATGAGGAGGCGGTACAGGGGCCCATGACAGATTACGGGCCTGGCAGCAGCATGAGGAGTCGGTACGGGGGCCCATGGCAGATTACGGGCCTGGCAGCAGCATGAGGAGGCGGTACACAAACGTGAGTCTCTCCACACTTTGGGTGGACAGTCGTGTCCTCCGCGGAGTTACAATACCTCCTGCCGCACTAAACACGCGCTCCGATGCCACGCTACTGGCCGGGCATGACAGACTTTCAAGGGCAAATTCAGCTAGTTGGGGCCAAAGGTCAAGTTTCGTTGCCCAGTAGTCAAGGGGATTGTCTACCTCGGTTGGCAGGGTGCTGTCCAAGTAGGCCCGAGCCTGTTGTTTGAGGTTCTGCTCCAGGTCCACCTGATGCTGCTGCTGCTGTGGCTGGTTAGTAGTTTCCTCACTGCGCTGGTGAAGAAAGCTACTCATCATCGACTGCAGACTGAGGCAGCCGCTGCTGGTGGAGCTGCCACTGCTCCTACCACCCCACCCCTCCCCTGCTGCCATGGCAGTGGAACGCGAGCGCACAGGGCCCACAGTGTCTGAGGATGGACGTTGGCGCAGAAAGGCAGAGACCAACTGACTACATAGGTGGTTTTTATAGTACTTTATTTTGGCCTCCCTCTCAGCAGGTGTGAAAAAGGCCACCATTTTTGAACGGTAGCGAGGGTCCAACAAGGTGGACAGCCAAAAGTCATCCCTCTGTCTGATGGTTATTATTCGGCTGTCGCTACGCAAGCAACCGAGCATGCTATGGGCCATTTGTGCCAAGGAATGCGAGGGACTCCCTGCCTCCATCTCCACAGCATACTGCCACGGTGCGTCTGGGTCCTCTGTCTCCTCCTCCTCCTCCTCTACCAGATGCTCCTGCTCCTCCACTCCTGTCCGCTGAGTGGAAAAACCACCCATTTCACTCAATAATTCCTGAGCACCAATGTCCTCCTCTACCTCCTCCTCTTCTTCCTGTCCTGCCCCCACAGGGGTCATGTGGCGTTGAGATCTGTACGCCACGTCTACCGCACCCTGACCAGCCATTGTTAACAGCATTTGTTCCAGGACGTGCAACAGAGGAATGACGTCGTTCATCCCATAGTCCTGCCGACTCACGAATAGCGTAGCCTCCTCAAAGGGCCTGAGCAGGCGGCAGGTGTCACGCATGAGCTGCCAATGGCTGACATCTAAGTTACACAGGGGAATACCTTTATCCGCTTGTAACATCAGGAAATCGGTGATGGCCTTTCGCTGTTCGTAAAGGCGGTCTAACATATGTAGGGTTGAATTCCACCTTGTTGCAACGTCGCAGATCAGGCGATGCTGTGGAATTCCGTTCTGCCGCTGCAGCTCAAGGAGGGTGTGCTTTGCGGTGTAGGAATGGCTGAAATGCATGCAAAGTTTACGTGACATTTTAAGGATGTCTTGCAGTGGGATGGTGGATTTTAGGAACCGCTTGACAACCAGATTGAACACGTGAGCCATGCATGGCGCATGGCACAACCTTCCTTGACGCAGAGCAGACACCATGTTCTTTCCGTTGTCGGTCAACATGGTTCCGATTTTCAGTTTGCGCGGAGACAGCCATCTGTCGATTTCTCTGTTCATTACACTCAGAAGTTCCTCCCCTGTGTGACTACGTTCGCCAAGGCATACCAGGTGCAGCACAGCGTGACACCGTTGCGCCCTGCACATGTGATATGCCGGTCGGGTAATGGGACTTGGCACGGGGGTGGCGGCTGAGGACACGGCGGAAGAAGAGGTGGTAGAGGCGGACATCTTTGCTGGACCAAGGACGTGCAAACGTGGAGGCAAAAGCGGCGTGACCTGTCCAAGTTGCTGGTGCGGCTGTGCCGGCACCACGTTCACCCAGTGGGCCGTAAATGACATGTACTGTCCCTGACCGTAGTTACAGCTCCACACGTCGGCGCTGCCGTGCACTTTGGCAGAGACCGACATGCTCAAAGACTGGCCCACCATCTCTTCTACATGTGAATGCAGGGCTGGCACTGCCTTTTTGGCGAAGAAATGACGGCTTGGCACTCTCCACCGCGGCTCGGCACAAGCCATCATTTCTCGGAAAGGTGCTGAGTCCACCACTTGGAAAGGGAGGGACTGCAGCACCAGCAACTTGGACAGGAGGACGTTGAGCTTCTGCACCGTCGGGTGCGTGCTCGCAAACTGTTGTCTCTTGGAAACGGATTCCAAGACTGCTGACGGAATCCGTGAAGAGGAGTAGCAGGAGAAGGAGCATCTGAACGAGCGGAAGATGCCAACGAGCGACAACTCCCCTCAGCAGAGGTGTTGGAGCCTTGACTGGCTGATAGAGGGCGATTGACGTCGGGTGACGGAGCAAGTAACGGAGCGGGTGATGGAGCGGGGGCTGGGGCAGGCAGAACCGCCGTATCTTTATCATGGTTTTCCCAGGCCACCGAATGGCGACGCTGCATATGCTGACGCAACACTGTAGTCCCAACATGGGCCCCCTGGCCACGCTTGACTTTCTGGCCACATAGTCGACATACGGCTACGTTTACTTCCTCGGGCGGCTTGACGAAAAATTGCCACTCCGCCGAGTAGGAAACTTTGCCCCCGCTACTCCTCACTGGCTGACTGCTACTTCCTCCGTGCACACCGGCACCACTACTGGCCGTGGTGGTAGGCTGCAGTGGAGCTGGTGCTCTACTCCGTGGCCGTTTGCCTCCACTGACACTGCTGCGACCCTGCTGCCTCCTGGGCAACCCACCGACTGTTTTGCTCGCTGGCAAGCTGGCACCCTCTTCTCCTGATGATGCGGAAGCAATAGCCTGATGACGACGAGGCTGCCAAGTGCGATCAGCCTCATCATCATCAATTAGGGTCTCCGCATCACTACTAGCCCCCTCGGCTGCGTGTGGGTCACGAGACAGACCTGTCTCTAGACCGGCTACCGAGCCACTCTCCTCGCCAGTACTTCTTTGCCTGGCTGCTGAAGAGGCGGATGTCTCCCCCCGTTCCTGACCGCCCTCTGTTAGCTCTTCCTCACTGTACAGTGGGGCTGAGCCCACAGCATGCGATACTTCGCTTGGTGAGGGAACACCAAAGAACAGGGGCAGGTAGAGGACACGTGATTTCAGTGGGCTTGCTCCCGGGCCATGCCAACTAACGGTTGTGTCTGACGTACCCACCGACCGTTGGCTGTAGGTGTCAGAGGTGACCTGGGAAGAGGAAGACGACCGAGCCAACCAATCGATGACGGCAGGGTTGTCGGTGGAGACACGACCGCTGGATGACACCGGGAGCACTGGCCTCTGGCTGCGACTAGTGCTGCCTCGACCCCTTCCTCTGCTGCCACGTCTGCTCGCTCCTGAAACATTGCCTCCTCTGCCACTCCTCTGCGTGTTGTCTGACATACTCTTTAATTCAATAGTGGTTGTGAAGGAGAAAGTAACGATTCTGTGTCCCTGAGTAACAATTCTGTGTCCCCGAGTAACGATTCTGTGTCCCTGAGTAACAATTCTGTGTCCCTGAGTAACGATTCTGTGTCCCTGAGTAACGATTCTGTGTCCCTGTGTAACGATTCTGTGTCCCTGAGTAACGATTCTGTGTCCCTGAGTAACGATTCTGTGTCCCTGAGTAACGATTCTGTGTCCCTGAGTAACGATTCTGTGTCCCTCAGTAACGATTCTGTGTCCCTCAGTAACGATTCTGTGTCCCTGAGTAACGATTCTGTGTCCCTGAGTAACAATTCTGTGTCCCTGAGTAACGATTCTGTGTCCCTGAGTAACGATTCTGTGTCTCTGAGTAACAATTCTGTGTCCCTCAGTAACGATTCTGTGTCCCTCAGTAACGATTCTGTGTCCCTGAGTAACGATTCTGTGTCCCTGAGTAACAATTCTGTGTCCCTGAGTAACGATTCTGTGTCCCTGAGTAACAATTCTGTGTCCCTGAGTAACGATTCTGTGTCCCTGAGTAACAATTCTGTGTCCCTGAGTAACGATTCTGTGTCCCTGAGTAACAATTCTGTGTCCCTGAGTAACAATTCTGTGTCCCTGAGTAACGATTCTGTGTCCCTGAGTAACGATTCTGTGGCCCTAAAGTCTCTGTGGCCCTAACTCTGTCCCTAATACAGACAGGTCTGTCTCTCTTGAATGACCGGAGGCTAATGGAGAATTCTAAGATGGCCGCAATTTATAGCTCCACCATTACACAGTGCTGGCTGGCTGGCTGCTGATTGGCTAATGCGATCACATGTCATGAATGAATGCATTATGGGTCAGCGCGCCTTCCCAGAGATCCCCGCTCCGTCGCCACACATGTCGCCGCCATTTTTGGGAAAATTCGATTCGTACATCCGAAGTTTGCTAATTTTCGGATTCGGCGCGAATCAATTTTTCCTGATCTTCGAAACGAATTCCACTTCGCCATGTTCGATTCGCTCATCTCTAGTGATGAGTCATCTCCTCCTGCGCACGAAACAAATCGGATTTTTTTTCCCAAAAATGGCGGCGACATGTGTGGCGACGGAGCGGGGATCTCTGGGAAGGCGCGCTGACCCATAATGCATTCATAATGCCACTTGCTGACGTCACGCCACAGTTGCCGGAACGACGGCCGGAACGAGGTCGGAACGACGGCCATCTTGGTAATTTATATTCAATTATACTCTAGTTCCACGTTGATTGTCTTTTATTCATGATACAATAAAATACTACACTATATACAATTCTTGGCTTGTGTGGTGAGCTATCCCTCATAGGAGAGGGTCCATCTGCGTTTTGTGCCCTTGGCGGAGTATCCCCTGCAGAGGCTTCACTGCTGTTACCTGTTGTCCAGATGAGATGTGCTTACATGCTGTTTACCACTAGATATCTGGTGAGTGTACATCTGACAGGGGTAGTGGATTCCTGTTTGGATCGCTTCATAGTATTTCACCGTGATTGCCGTACCTATATTCTTACGTACAATATTATTACTGATATTTATTGGGCTATATTTTCACCTTCATGCTGCACTTTATTGTTCACACATTGATCGAATGACTCTTTGAACAAATTTAAACATTTATTAATATAATATGTTATATATTTTTTTATACGCTGTACATGACTGTTCCATTGAGCAGTTTTATTTTTCAGATTGATATTTGCACTTTACTTTCACATTAGTATTCACTTATTTTAGCGCTGCACTTTCTATACATTTATCTATAAGGAATTGTTACCTATACCTTTGTGCTAGCTGCTTATATAGTTCCAGCGCTTGCCTATGCTTGATTATATTTAGGTGTTATGTTTAGGTTTACAGCCAGAATATTTGAAAATTACCTTTTTGGATGTGATCATATGGTTTTTAGGGTCTTATCACGTATTGCAGATATAACGTTTATTGGCAGTGACTACAACTGTATCAGCGTTATGACTAAAATGAACTTGTCAATCAAATGCAGAGATAACAATATCCTTTATTCAAAAAATTACACTTTGGCTATAACAATATGATATAAAAATGGGAATGTCTTCCTGAGCTTAACTGTGTGAACACCTAATATAAATAAGCAAGCTGCTGTCACCTGTTCCCTAAACCCCAGGATATGCAAACATAAAACCAAAAAATGGTGAAGCGCTAAGCGAATGCGATAAACCAATAAATCCTGAGGAAGCCACGTGTTGGATCATGGTGTAACGCGTAGAGCGCATGCGCGGTGACGCACTTCCGGTAGCAGCGGAGACGCACGTCCAGTTCCTAACGCCATCTTGGTACACCCGAGTCCTCTAGTATACTCATAGCACATGGGAACTGCTGTACTGTCAAGATAACTATGTGATTGTCCATTTTATTTGGCGGTATTTCAGATTAAAAGCAGTATTACACTATGGAGATCTTTTTATTTTACCCCTTTCATGCATGCCTGAGTCCAATTGTGTGAAAGGGCAGCTAAAGGTGCGCTGAGTTAGGAGCGGAGCCCGATTGGAATCTGTGGAGTCGGTGGAGCCAGATTGTGGGACGCCTTCTGGTGTGGGAATACTTAAGGTGCTGTGACCCTGAGGGGTCGATGTTGGGAGGCGAGGAGGCACTTTAGCTACTGTGGGATAAGTCACACAAGAGTGTCACTGAGAGTACAAGAAAGTGTACATTGAAAATTGAAGCACTGTTGTGTTGGACTGATAACTATTGATATTTGCACTGAATGATTTATTTAAGAGATTGCTGATTATTTACTATTTGTGTTTAAGCACTTATCACTTTTTATATAAATTTTCAACATTATTTTGGTTCATATGTCACTTTACCTGGTGTGCCTTTATTGATTGGCGGACCAGGCACCTGGTTTTTTACACAGTTTACTGTTGTTTTGCATTTTGAGCACGTGTCACTTTATAATTTTTATGTGTTGCAGTCTCATGTTTATATATTGATTCATGATTTTTATCAATTCAGATATATTTGCATTTTGAGCACGTGTCACTTTACGTTTTTCATAGGTTGGAGTCTCACATTTATTGATTAATTATATTTATGATTTTAGTTTTATTTATTTTTGTTTATTTACACTGATTTATTGGTTTATCGCATTCGCTTAGCGCTTCACCATTTCTTGGTTTTATAACAAAATGATCATTAAAATCTCTAGTAAAAATATATCAGTATTTTTATTTACCCATTGTGATTCTTCTGAAATTTGTAACAACGTCTGTGAAAACTGAAACAATCCATATGGTAGATCGCTGGAAGCCATGGTGACATTTGCTAATCGTGTGGATTCATTTATAATTCCTCCTTCACTGATTTTGCTGAGATACAACTCGTAGAAGCTTTTTTCTTCAGGTACATTGTCATCAACAGCCTACATAAAACCAAGACAGTGCAAGAAATAACAGTTTCAAATGCACTAAATATTAATATTTTTATACTTTGATGCAGCAATAATATTTTAATAGAAGTAATGCAGTATAGCATAATAGCATTTTTGCCTTCTACACTTGTTAAAATTGTTAATGACAAGGGAAAAGAACAATGGAAGGGCAGAACTCGTTGGCAATTATGTTTTAGCAGGGAAGATTTGGTTTCTATTTACAGACCTTTAAGGAATGAATTCGTTTTTTTTTTTGTTTTTTTTTTAGTATGGTAAGAGCCATAAAAAAGTTAAAAATACATATTTTTTTTCTTGACAGGTAAATATGAAATGTTAAATATCAGCAATATATCGTGTTACTGGCCATCAGGTTGAGCTTTAGGGGCCTTCTTTTTCACATATTTTACTCTACCACCTTACTATCTTCTTTTAAAATCCTGTTTAACCATGTCAACAGCTCAAACATAAATGTACACACAAGTACTAAATGATTAATCGCAGTAGACCATTCATTATCAGACACTCCATCCAAGCCTTAAGTTGGACAAGGTGAACATACAGAAAGGTAGCTTCTGCTGTGCTGACTATGTACATAACCCTTAGGGTTTGGTCTACTAAAACTGGAAAGTGCACGATGTGGTGCAGCTCTGCATAGAAATCAATGAGCTTCCAGGTTTTTTGTCAAAGTTTAATCGAACAAGCTGAAGTTAGAAGCTGATTGGACACTGTGCACAGCTACACCAGATTTCACACTCTGCAGTTTTAGTAAATCACCCCCTTAGTGTTCTAGGAATTCTTTTCATATTTTAGGCCCCTTTTTCACACGGGGCGGACCCATCAGCGGATCAGTTTGCTTAGTGGAGGATCTGCCCACTGAGCAAGCAGATGATAGGACACAGCCCACTGTCCTCTACGGGCTGTCAGATGGAAATGGACAGCCTGTCCATTTCCATTCGACTGTCATCGGACCAGCCAGACAGATGGAGAATGGATCCCCATCCATCTGTTTTTAGTGGACAGGATCAGATCAGATGCAGTCAGGTATCCGTTTACACTCGCTGCTCCATAGAGAACAATGAAGCGTCCGATTGGCTCTGCTTAAAAAACGGACAGGCGGACCCAATCTGTCCGCTCATGTGAAAGGGGCCTTAAGTGTCAATTTGCAATTCAAAAACTTTATACATACAATAAAAAATATATATATAAAATACAGGTTTAAAAAATGTATTAAACAAGCTTTATATTTATTCTTTATAATAACATACAATCGTTTTTGGAAAGAAACAAAAAAAACTAGCACTCCTAAAACTAGGCAAATAGATCAATCTTAATATATAACTTATACACTAAACATTTCTCTACACACACCTGTATAATGATAACAGCAGCAGATTGCCTGTCTCTCAGTGTCACCATTCCTGATGTCTCAACAAATTCACTTGTATAAACAGGAGTTATATTCCAATAAACAGTAACTTCACCGTAAATCCCAGGTCCTCGAATAAGACTAAAGAATAAAAAATATCATCAGAAAAAAAAAGTCTCTGTTGATGCTTCTCAAACTTCTACTTATCATGGACAATCATAAAAACTTTTCACATGTTCTTATATCATCTAAAGTCTAGTACACACGATCAGAAAATCGTACAAAAAAATCTGATAGTTAATAGAAAGCTTTTGTCCAAAATCATTAGAAGTGACAAGCACAAATAATTTTCTCGTACGATACCAGATCGTACGATTTTCATTTAACCAGTACAGTTTTCATCCAAAAATACAAAAATGCAATATAATAAATTATATCATTTTCAAATTTTTATTCTCTGTTGTACAAGAATTTTCATAACTTTAGTAAACTCTTCACTTTTAATATGACACTAGTATTAAAAAAAAACAAAAAAAAAGGATGATCATTCATCGGATATTTTCATCGTGTGTATGGACCTAAGTCTACAGGATTACTAATACACCAGAGATAACACTAATTTGCTTCTACAGCAGCGCTGGGGTATGTTCCTGACAAAGCAGTGACTTAGATAAGCAGCAAAATTTCTTCACCATTACAGAACAAGCCCTTTTGAATGTGAATAACTGTTTCTAGCTAGTGTCAGAAAACTCAGAATTCCTTATGTCTACACTTGTTCCAGCAACAAAAAGAATATTGAAACCAATGTGTCAGCAGACGGCCATGAAACTAGTATTCTCAAAAGGAGAGTTCAGCAATGGCAACCTCCATAATTTTCTCATGATAGAGTCGCCTTCAAGATGTACATTAGTTCTCAAAGTGATGGTTGAGGTTTGTTTGAGGAAGACAGCTTAGGTTTGGTCTTCATGACACATCACAACATTTTTTTAAATTATTCACAGGAGTTTGGGGGTCAGCTGAAAAAACATTCGTTGGGTGAATTTGTTCCACCATGTGCTGTCACCTTGCTACATGTTACTTAGCCTCTTCAGCTGTAGTACCACATTCTTGACTTTTCTGCATATGTAACAACTGAAGAAAAAATGTAGACACAAGCTGTGGGAACCATATGTATATAACAGAGAAAAATGGAAAGAAGGCAATAGTGCTCCATTAGGGAGATGATAATTCAAGCAAGATGCTTTGAGCTTTGGTAACAGGGTCTTAGATTCACCAAAGGCAAGTAGGCTGTTTACTTTGAAAGGTAATTTTCCCTTAACTTAGTTAATGTGGTGAAAAAACACCAACATGTCTTAAAAAAATTAATAAAAACAGAATCACTGAGTTGGAAAAAGGATCACTCCCTTCCTAAAAATGACTTGTAAACTCAATCAGGTGTAGCTCATCTTCTCAGTGGCACACAAATCCATTTGACTTTCAACTGTGATCAGCTGTGGTCATTTTGCTCAGATTAGCTCAGCATGAAAAGAGCTTTCCTGCAGCATTTCAGTCCCTGATGGTGCAACTGAAGCAAACAATCAACTATGAGTGGCAAGGCACTTCAAAAGATTTCTGGGATAAAGTTGTGGACAGGCACAAGTCAGGAGGTGGATACAAAAAAATTCAAAGGCTTTATCAATGCCTAGAAGCACAGTGAAGTCTATTATTAGGTAGCGGAAGGTATTTGGTGCAACACAGACCCTCCCTTGATCAGGACATCACTCCAAATTGGATGAAAGATCCAGGAGGAAACTGATCAAAGAGTTTGGGGATGCCCGCTTCCTGTTCCAAGAGGACTGCGCACCAGTGCACAAAGCAAGGTTCCTGACCTCAACCCGATAGAACACCCATGGGATGAATTAGAGTGGAGACTGCGAGCCAGAATATTTCATCAGACATCAGTGCCTGACCTCACAAGTGCACTTCTGGAAGAATGGTCAAACATTCCCATAGTTGCATACATAGTTACATAGTAAGTCTGGCTGAAAAAAGACAAAAGTCCATCTATAAAGTCCATAGACACACTCCTAAACCTTGTGGACAGCCTTCCCATAAGAGTTGAAGCTGTAATAGTTGCAAAGGGTGGGCTAACTCAATATTGAATCCTACAGACTAAGACTGGGATGCCATTGAAGTTCATGTGTGTGTAAAGGCAAGCGTCCCAATACTTTTGGCAATATACCGTAGTATATATTTTATATATATGAGATCTCGTATAAAAAAGGTTAGTAGTGGCACAATGTAGCATCATAAGAAGTTACTCTGCTGCATGGAAAGTCATACTCCCTGTCATTGTTGAGAAGACACGGTCATCTATTTTTGGCTGTGTTTAAAGACAAGGAATAATTCTAAAGGTACAGAGTGTTTTCTTTACAGTAAACTAACATGAAGACATTTTTAGAGCTCTTTCTAGAACAATGAACTTCAATTTTACAAGGTGTCAGTTAACCTTTAAACACATAAATTGTTATGTTCTAGACAGACATGCACTAGAGATTATTTCTATCTGCTCACAGAAACACAAAATATCCTTTTGGGGCTATTAAAGTAGAAATACTCAGGCTTACTAAAAAAGAAGTTCAAACAGGAATTCAAATTTTGCAAGATGGTTCTATTAGTTGCTATGGACAGCATTTAGCACATTGTACTTTACCATATTACATACCGACCAATATATGATTAGGAAATTATAGTATATGTACTATATGCTATAATCACTGGATTAAGAAGAAGCTCTAAACAAATTATATTGATTACAGTGAATGAAATACCTGATATGGGCTGTTCCATTATAGTTCCCAGAGGGCTCACCAATGAGAACATTAAGGGATGATGGGGCTAATCCAACTATACCAGCTGCCCCTACATCCCCAGCAATAACAACTGTGGCTGTACCTGGAAAGCAATAAGATGGAAGTCAGAAATATACTGTTCATCTATATATACAACAATACTGTTTATGGATTATTTATATAAGATACATGGCACCACCTTCTTCTCCCTGTCTTCCCGTGAATGATTCACCACTTGAAAACTGAAGAATCACATTGGAGTGAATGTTAGTATTTTGTAGATATGTGGGAAATATTTGAGATATGTGGGAAATTGTATGGATTCACCATGTTTCAATTTGTACATGCCTTAAACAGTGAACTTGTATAATGTTACTTAGCAGCAAGTGACTTGGATTTGCTGCTGAGGTAGGGTTTCATTTTAGGCTTTTTTAGGCTATTTTAGACAGTGTGCGTATATTCATATGTGTGTGTGTTATTGTTTTTATGTTTACAGATGTCAGGAGTCTTTATAGAATTTAATTGTGCAATGACAATAAAGTATTTATATTTACAGTATATCACGAAGCATGGTCAGAGTCTGCAGCTCTCCCACCCTTAAATTGCCTTCATTCTTACAGGATTTGGGGGTTCTTCTCCCTGTTAGCTCCTGTCAAAGTTAAAATTGGCATGGATCTGCCTGCACAGCCACATCAGGTGCAATGAATAAAACCCAATCAGCTTCCAGGTTTTATTGCCAAAGCTTACATGAACAAGCTGAAGTTAGAAGCTGATTGCCCACCATTCACAGTGGCACAAGATTCTGAATGCTCCAGTTTTAGTAAATCCCCCCCTATGTGTCCTGCCTGCCACCACGACAGAGGAACTTGTGGTTCTTAATGGAAGTTAAGTGTGGTGACATTTATACATTCATGGTCTTTTGACACTTCAAGCAGCCCTGTAACCAGAGGTCGTATTCATGAAATACTGATTGCAGGTGCAATGTTTTCCAGGAACCTATGAAAAAAAAAATAATAAATGCTCATTTCAAGTAAAATACCATGCCCTCTTTACAAATAATCCCTATCTTTCATTATTCGTCTTCTCAGAACTGCAAAGGAAGTGGTTTTTGAAATACGTCACTTTTTCAGGTGATGTAATTGCAGGTCTGAACAGGAGTAAATAGCTATATATTACCCAGCAGTTATCACTGAGTGGGTGGCAGTCCCACACTGTTTGAAGTATGAATAGAAGAGTATCTCAATTTAGGGACCACTATCCCAACATATATTATTTGTACAGGACCAGGTGGCAAATGTCCTCCCTGCCTGTAGGAAATCATGAGCCCCATCCTACTTTTTATCTGGAATGCACCTTCATACCACTGTCTTTGAGTGTATAAGAAGCCTCCCCAAGATTCTCACACTAGGGGACAATTTCAGAAGCGTTTATATCTTATTACAATATGCTTTGCACATGTAACTGGACAAGAATTTGCTAAAACATCTACAATGTCAAGCACTATTTAGTATAACTGGCTCCTGACACATGTTGAACGGGTACAAGAGGGAAGTGTTCAGCACTGTCAGTATACACTACAGCTCCCCCCTGCTATCTAGTAACAAGCAATTAATTTGTGTATATCAATTTGAATCCTAGCAATCAGTGTTAGAATGCTATTCTGTGGTGCCCTCTGATCCCCTAGGAGAACTCCCAGACCAGTACCCCCATGTTGAGGGCTTTTGTGATATTGACAAACCCTTGTGAGTACAAGACCTTGGAAGAATGAGATTCATGTACACAGCATGTTGCTATTAACGTGTAGACATAGTCAGCATGGGATTTACCATCTACAGGAGAGATGACTGAATAGTCGACTGACACCAACTGAATAGTGAATGATTCCATTCCTTCCAGAAGGCCATCTTGAATTGCTTTCAGAGTAAATGATTTTCTAGTGTCAGTCTGAAAATGCAAATAAGACATTGATTTATAAACTTCAAAGAATGTATACTGTTGGAGCATTTTACACATCATATAAATAGGAACTTTTATGCCTCTTGGAAGATTTAGAATTTTCATGGTCACCGCCAAAAGAATCTCAGACAGAGCTCTTGGGACAATGATAAGCAGGGTTTTTTTTCTCAGAGAATAGGTACTGGAACTCTCTCTTTCCAAATCACCCCTTGTCTCTGCCCCTTACTCACCTCCCAGTACAGCCCTTTTAAAGAATGCAGAACCAAGTATCATGTTGTGGTCCTAAGTAATTTGTATGGAATTTGTTAATGATAACAAGAAAATCAGTAAAATAGATCTCCTGCAGCCAGCAACAATGGACACCCCCCAGCAAAAACAGATCTCCACAGCAACAATGAGCCACCTACAAAAAATTACCCCTCCAGCAACAATAGACCACTGGCAATAAATTAATAAAAATAAAGTGCAGCACTACAAATCTAGCTAATTTATAAATAATAGTGAATACTATAAGTGATGATAATATAAAAGTCCAAAAAAGATGCTTCTATATAGAATTTCCTTCTTCCTGCGATCACTGAGTGCTCCAACCAAAGAAATGTGCACAATTCCTCCACCAGATGTCTGCTCACCTGCTCAATATCAATAGACCCTCCTGCAGTTAGCAACAATAGACTTGTCCCTCTACAGTAGATCCCTCCCAGCAAAAATTGACCTCAAAGCAACATAAAACCCACCCCTAGCAACAATAGATCACCCACCAGCAACAATAGTCCTCCCCGTTAACAATAGACCCCCCACAAAAATATATCCCCTCAAACAACAATAGCAGTCAGCATCAACAGACCATCCAGCACCCACCCTGTGCCATTACATACATTCAGTGCATGAGGTGTAGGAATTGCATTACACCACATTTCCGGCTGAAAAAAAGCCCTAATGAGAAGAATCTGGGAACCTTAATATCTTTTTACTGTGTATAAAGACACTTAACCACAAATCATATGGCACAGGAAGCCTCCACAAACATTGAAGCAACATTTGTAGACTTTCAATCACTGTCATTGGTACTACAATGGCTGCCTTAGATCTAGGTCAAGTTGTACATTGTATTTCTAATTTCTCTCTTTGTCACAGGTTTCCAACCTTCTCAAATTAAATCAGCAAAAAGACGACTATTGCAGTCTGTCTAAGTCTCACATAGGTTTATCCAGGTAAGCCTGATGGAATCCATACACTTTTAGGACAAATTACTGTCATTTCATCCATAAATTCTCTGAAAGCACCGTGAAAACTCTGGCAGTGACATAAGACGTACAGATTGCATAATAGCATCAGCTTCCAAGTGGAATAGGTACTTATTGCAAAGATCTTTCAAAATATTTATCAACAATAGAAAATGATAGGCTAATTCCAAGGATGTCCAACGTACATATTTAGCAGAGAGTGGGATAGCCAGAAATAAAACAAATCTCTGGCTGGAGTCCTGATCAACAATATATTGTCACTGTTGTTACATAAGAATTGCTACATGGCAAAGAGCAGTATAACAGCTTTCATTTATAAAATGAATGCCGTATTTGTTATATAAGCCACTCCAATAGCACTGCACAGGTAAGGACCCATATAATTACCTATTACGACATTTCATACAATGCAATGTTTTTTTTTTTTATAAAGGAAGCTTTTTTATCCATTCAACTGAAATACTTTGTCTTCAGAATATAAAAAGCATAAATGCTTTATTGAAAATATATCCAATACAATAAAAGGACTTCATGTGTACCTCGTTGAAGATTAGAGTTCCATTTAATGGGCTTAGGTCATATTGTCCAGACTCCTCCACTATCCAGATAATTTTCACTGCACCTCGACCACCTTGACTTCGCACGACTGTCAGAGTCACTTCTCCAGCTGGGTCGCCTATTCTCTGAGGTTCAGAAATCACAACCTAAAAAAACAGTGATGTAATGTGATCACATTTAAAACCAATTCAGCAATAAATACAAAATATCAACTCCTTATTGTCCCATTAAGGGAAGTCATTCTCCACTGTATTTTAACATTATTCATTACTTGGGCAGCAAGATGGCCCAAGTGATTATCACTTTTGCCTAGCAGTATTGTAATCTTTGGTCCTTTCCCAAGGTCACAGTCTGCATTGAGTTTGTATGTTCTTTTTCTGTCCATTTGCTATGAAGCAGCCAAAAACTTAGGGGACTATGCATGCTCTTTGAGAAAGAACATTAGAGCAGACGGTGGACATAATATGATGGATAATTCTGCACTGTGTACGCAGGCCTTTGCAATTCTCTGAATGAATGGGTGTTTGGCCAAGCAAAGCACCAGCTATAGGGTTCTTGGAAGTTAGGAGCCTGCACCTGTCGGTTTCCTACCAACCAGTGACTAACACCAACCTGGCAAATTCCGCTGTTAGCTGGGGATCCCCAGCTGACAGGTGAATATAAACAAATGGATAGTGGAAAAAAAATAAAAAATAAATAATGGCCCCCAGCGTAAGAGTGAGTAGTGACTTCAGGTGTCACCAGGGAATAATAGCCACACCATATGTAACAGGGAAGTAGCATGAGTAGTCATGATGGGAAACCACAAGTGGATTTGTTACTGGAGTGCTGAACTACAGTTGGATGTATTTACTGAGGTTTTATTTTTGTGGCTTTCCCTTAGGGAAGAAGCAAGGTAGGGAGATGCAAGACTTGTTTTGGGACTACTTGCATCCGCTTTGCATGGGATGCTGGACACAGGGCAACCCCCCTTGTAGTTGTGGGCTTCTCCTCAACTATTCTCTCTTTTGATTCTCTCTCTCTGTATCATTTGCAATCAAATATTCCCTGTCAAGGGATGACTAAAGTATATACATATTTAATTATCTGTATTCAGTAAATAGTTAAAAGGCTTTTGTTGTGTGGAATCTTCCTTCTCCTATCTATACGATGGGGACATCCTCTGGAAACAGCCATTGCTGGCAAAAGCTACAACCGGAGTTCATTGTGGAAGGTCTGAAGCATATATAAAGCAGACTGCTGGGGATGATGGTCAGGCCTGGCTGAGGGTTTCCCAGAATGACCCTTAGAGGGGTGTCCATAGTATCTCAGTAGGTCTAGAGAATCTCCCCTGGGTCCAGGCAGGAATGGGTTAATGAGACCTTTGGGGATGTCCTTCCCCAAAACATTGCAGTTAAACATGGGGAGGTCATGCAGCCTGGCATAAGGCCCCTGTTATATTACACTAGGATAAGTGGTTTGCATCCAGGTTATATTGTGTCTGCTATCACAAATAATGCATTTTACTCACATCACTTCCATTACGTATGCAAAAAAACAAGGGGCTAATTCCTAATTTAAAAATACAATTATCTCTATATGAGAAATAAATACAGTAAATGGCAAAACTTACTGAATTAGTCTTTCGGTATTATAAAAAATATTTTTACACTTACGCATATAGTGCAAATCTATGACATACTTACCCTATTGGTCTCAAATCCAAACAATCCAAGAGGAGAATCATTTGGTGGAATGCTGACCACAACGGTGACTTCATTTCCTAGACTGGCATTATTTGTCACCCGCTTTAGCGAAACATTGAATGTTTCTAAATACTCCACAAACGTATCATCCACAATTACAATTTCTATTACTCCTGCCGACTGAAGAAAAACAAAAATATGCATTATTTAATATTTATAAGACTGTATAAAAAAATATAAAACAAAATGACTGCAAAGCATCATATTATGATCTATTGTATGTAACAGGCCAATGGCCATGTGTAGTCTGTTTCCTTGTTTTCATGTTATGTGGTTTCCACTGCCCTCCAGTGGACAATGCATGTCTTAACACAGTCACCTACAGTCTACTACTGTAATTCACAGATGGTTTTGCAGGTTGTGCATCTACTGTCTTCTTTGGTTAAATATTATTGATGCTAAAATCATGTTTTTTCAGTGGAAAAAACAAATGTGATTTTCACTACAACCACCCTTGTGTTTCCAACTAACACCTATCCTTACTACTTATTGCTGCTATAACACAGTTTTGCATATGGTACCCTGAGGTGCTGTCAGGGTTTCCCCTGAGGTGCCATGGGCACGGGACTCAATTTTCCCTTTACCAGTGTCATGAGTTGTCATGGTTTGGGCAGGCTGAATGTCAGTACCATAACAATCAATGACACTCTAGGACCAAGACTCATGGCATGATTCATTGCTATGGTGATTAAAACTGGCTCACCAGCACCATGGCAACATATGACTCTGATCTAGGGCAGGCGGCATGCAGGGCCACTCTCAGAATTCAGTTTGCCTCCTCCAGACCATCTCCACCTCCTACCCTCTGCTGCGCTGCTGGAGCCAAAAAGTAGGGTTCTGTTCTGAAAAGGGGGCTCTGTGATGGGGTGACTGTGTGATTGGGGGGCTCAGTGATGGGAGGTCTCATGTGTAGGGGACCTTTAGTGTATAGGGGATGACTTTGATGTGCTGAGGGACTCTCATGTGAGGGCAGGGGGCTCTTATGTGAAGAGAGGACCTTGGACCTGATGGAGAGCTTTTGATGTTATGGGGGCCTCTGATGTAATGGGGGACTTCTGGGGAGTCATGGGCAATCTCTGCTGTGATGGGAGGTCTCTGATGTATAAAGGGGCCTATGATATGATGGGGGGGACTTCTCTGATGTGAAGGGCGGCTTTTGATGCAAAGTTATTTTCATCACGTCGGTTGTATGCATTGTCCTAGGTTTCCCACTGATAAGTAACATTTAGGTTTTTTACACTTTATACTGGGGTTCCTTGAGATTTTGCATACGTTTTAAAGGGTTCCAGTTAAGAAAAGCTGTGCTAACACTTCATCTGCCCCCTAAAATTAAGCCTGATCACAATTCTCTCTCTCTCTTCACATGCAGAACACTACTATTATTTTTAATATACTGTGTGGATGAACTGTGTGACCGTATAGAGATATGGATAGTACAGATATGGATAGTACACAGAAATGTGTGTAGTGAACACAAAATTAAATCTGGTCTCAGCTACCCTTTAAACTATCCTACCCTTGCAGCTACTCTTAAAGCTCACCACACATACTACAATCTGACTGTACACTCTCCTTTATATCTACCTAAAGCTACATAGTATAAGGACCTGCATTTTTATATAGTTTTGGCACATCTAAAGTTGATTGTCCAAATATTATACCATCAGATTGTACTGTGTATGGTAAGCTTTCCTGTAGTCCTACAAATCATACAGAAAATGGTTTTATTTTAAAAATGTGTTTATAAAACATGCCAATTTTGTTTTTATATTTGCACAGCTATAAAAGAATGTCTGAGAAATCATTTACATTTTTTAGAGCGTTAAACTGCACAGCAGCAAGTCCTGAAGAGGATGTGATTTCATCACTATAGTTTATGTATAACAGTTGTACAGACCTGTCCATCAGAAAATGAGAGATTCCCTGAAGAAGGCATGAAGTCATCACGACTCGCTGTGATTGGCAGAGCTTCCCAGTAAACAGTGATAATGCCAAAGTTTCCAGCTTGTCTGACAACAGGAAGCCTGAGTACATTCTGTGGAGGTGGAACTTCGTAAGCCAGCACAGCTCCATTTACAGTCTGAAAAATACACAACCTCATGTTTACAGCACAAAACAATAGCAAGATTATTTTATGATGTTGAACAGTTCTACTAAGGAGAAGGGAACGGGGCACTTTTAGCATTTCATCACCTCCTTGACTTTTTACAAGTCCAAATGGCCAATCATTCATGATATACGGTGTACATAGGGAAACAAAATGCAGTAGAATTATGCACAGTATGATTACACACAATATGATCAATTAGTGCCATGTTTACAAGAAAAATAATTGGAACATTTAAGGCTACTGGGGACTACAAAAGAGTTCTGTTAGAACAGGGCTGGTGGGGGAATGTAAAGAAGAGGACAGTCCTGTTTCAAACCCCTAGGCAACTGCTATCCCTACATCTGAACTTCAAACCTGACACAGAGCTCCTTTAGTACTGGATTTAGTCAATGTTACCAGTTATTGATTGATACATTATATGGTTAAAATACAAAGTTTCATTCCCAGATAACATGTCCCTGAGATCAATAAGAGACAGTCATCACGGTCTATTGTAGGTTTGGCTGGTGTTTACACTGCAGCATCTGAAATCTGATTTTCTGCTCTTAAAGAAGCAAGGCCTTGTTTACACGGACCGCAGAGGAGTGTTGAGCTATGTTTTCACCAACCCCTGACTGCAGAGTTGTAAGCCAACATGGCCGGTGCCCATGTAAGTAATGCTGCAATTGTGACAAAGTGCCACAATGTGGTAGGAAACTGACATTGTCATCACTCCTCTCTGCAGTACTGTACTGTGAGCACAGGCTTATATGGTGACAAACCCCTACAATGTGTGTCCATGATGATGGTTGAGATTCAACTGTGAAGAAGGCTAGCAATTGAAAATGGTTTATGCGGAAGACATCACTGGATATAAGAGGAATTTTGCAGTGAGAGCTGTTTTTTTTTATTCTAACATGTTTGGATATACTATTTAGCAGCTGGAAACATGTAGAGGGTGCTGTGTATGAATACAACTATCCTATATTATTGTTAATATACAGGATTTATATAGCACCGACAGTTTAAGGAGCACTTTACAGGCAATACATTTACAATACAATTTAGTACAGTAGGAATCAGAGGGCCCTGCTCGTTAGAGCTTACGATCTAAGAGGGTGGGTCAAGAAATACAAAAGGTAATATCTGTGGACGATGGGCTGATGGAGAGAATAAATGTACAGATATTAGGTGGGGGCAGGATAAGCCTCTGGGAAGAGATTGATTTTTAGGGTTCATCTAAAAGTGGACAGAGTAGGAGATAGGAGATAGTTGAATAAATTTGGGTAGGAAGTTGCAGAGGATGGGAGACGACAAAGGAGCTAGAGAGCAGGAGGTCTTGGGAGGAACAAAGAGAAAGATTTGGTTGGTATTTTGGGACAAGGTTAGTGATGTAGCTGGGGGCAGAGTTGTGGATGGCTTTATAAGTTGTTGTTAGTATCTTAAATTTAATTTGTTGGCTGAGCGGAAGCCAGTGGAGGGATAAGCAGAGAGGGGTAGCAGACACTGAGCAGCTTTTAATGTGGATGAGTCTGGCAGCAGCATTCATGATGGACTGAAGGGGGGATAGCCTATGTAAATGTAAGCCAATGAGGAGGGAATTGCAGTAGTTGAGCTATGACCAGGGAGAGAATTAAAAGTTTTGTGATGTCGTTGTTTAGGAAGGGGCGTATCTTTGGAGTTGTTTCGGAGGCTGACGTGGCAAGCTTTGGACAGTGGTTGGATGTGGGGTTGAAAGGATGGATCAGAATCCAGGACCACACCTAGCACCCTCTCATGTGGGGACAGGTTGCTAGTTGAGCCATTGATTGTGACAGAGAAGTCAGGGAAAGAGGCACATAGGGGAGGGAATATTATGAGTTTGGTTTTGGATAGATTGAGTTTCAGGAAGTGGTGTGACATCCGGTCTGATATGCCTGTTAGTAGATTAGTGATGCATGAGAAGACTGATGGAGTGAGTTAAGGGGTACAGAAATAGATTTGGGCATCATCAGCATAGAAATGGTATTCTAAGCCATGGGAGGCTATCAACTGACCAAGGGAGGAGGTGTAGATAGAGAATAGGAGAGGTCCAAGAACAGAACCTTGGGGAACCCCGATGGAGAAAGGAGGAGGAGGAGAGGAAGTAGAATTTTAAGTGACACTGAAGGTGTGGCGGGATAAGTAGAATGAGAACCAGCGAAGCGTACAGTAGTGAACACCAAAGAAGTAGAGTTTTTTGATGAGTGGGGAGTGGTCCACCATGTCAAAGACAGCAGAAAGGTCCAGGGGTAGGAGTACATAATGGTGTCCATTGGTTTTAGCCGTTAATAGATTGTTTGTGAGTTTTAAGGTTTTTTAGTGTTGAGGGTGAAATCCAGACTGAAGGGGATCAAGAAGGTCAATCTTGGTGAGATGGTCACTCAGTAAACTAGATGTTCAAGGAGCTTGGAGGAAAAGGAGAGTAAGGAGATGGAGCGTAGGTTGTTAAGATTGGTGAGGTCCAGTGAGGGCTTTTTACGTAAGGAGGTGGCTAGTGCATGTTTTAAAGAGTTGGAGAAGATGCCAGAAGAGAGGGAGACATTGAAAATGTGAGTCAGAGAGCGTAGGATAGAGCCAAAGGGTGACTGTAGCATATGAGATGGAACAGGGACCAGGGGCAGGTGATTATATTGACATTAGAAAAAAGTTTAGCAACCTTGTCTATAGTAGTGTGGTTGAATGAGGAAAGTAGTTATTAGTACCTGTGGACATGAAGTGTTAAGTGAGGGAAGTACCTGCGCATTGGAGATCTCCTCACAAACTGTATCAATCTTATATTTGAAGTGATTGGCGTTCTGCTGGGCATTGAGTGAGTTAGTGGGTGGAGGCAGTGCATGATGAAGAACAGAGCTGAAGAGAGAAGAGTTGACGGGGACTGGATAAGAAGGTGTTAATGAGAGTGATAAAATAGGTCTGTTTGGCAGTGAGGAGGCAAGAATAGTATTTTTGGAGGGCAGATTTATATCGGTTGAAGTCTTTCTGAGTGTTGGCTGTTTGCTGTAAGGATCAGGGCCTGATTCTGTGTGTAGTGAAGGCTTGTCTCGGAAGGATGACAGTGAACTGTTGTAGACAGAAGTGGCTAGACTGGGGAAGAACAGGGATTATATTTTGTCATAGAGGTGGTCAGTAGCAGAGTAGAGCAGAGAAGGGTTGAGGTGGTGAAGGTTTCTACGGGGAACTGATAGGCTGTTTTAGGAAGAGGAGGTGTAAGACAGAACAGGGTGAAACTAAAAAGGTGGTGATCCAATAGTGGGAGAGGAATGTTGGAGAGGTTGCACAGAGTGAGTGGTTGCACGAGAATGATTGCAGGGATTTCAGAAGAGAAAAAGTAGGGTAGTCATCAAGGAAGCTTGATACCTGTGCAGGGGGCCAAAAGATCACAGCAATTCTTGCAGAAATGGAAGAAAATAGACAAATACAATGTGCCTCAAAAGAGGAGAATGTCAGAGAGAGGGGTGGATGAAGTACATGCTGTGTGGGTGCTGTGTGGGGCTAAAAGAAATTCTCCTATAGGAGAATAAAGCTGCTAAACCATAGTACACTACCTTCACAATTTTTTCCCCACCATATCCAAAGCTCTTGTAGAATGGATTATTATTGTATTGCTCATAGTCTTACAGGATTAAAAAAGCTAACCTGATAGCTTTTATGACCATTAGAAAACCAAGGTCTGGGTGACTACAAACAGGCTGACCTCTATTAACCTTGAATGTTGTAAGAAAACCTCAGTACATGTTGGAACGAGAGGGCTGGCACATGCTCATACTTATATACATGCTCATAATACTCAGCAAGCATTGTCACACTCGCGCAAACTATTAGGCATTAGGCAAAATGTGTTTAAGCTGCACTCTGACATGGATGATGAACTGAGTGGTCTTCATCTAGTTCCTGCTTTACCTGAACCTTGGCTTGCCATACCTGCTTACCTGTATGCAACTCGGCTTGCCCCTGACCTGTCCTTGGATTTCTGTTTACCAACTGTGACCTTGGCTTGTATTCTGACTCTGCTTCTGTCTTGCATTCCTGTACCTCGTTGTCTGGCTGTGCACTGATTCCAGCTTGTATCCTGACTCTGTCTCTGCCTAATGTTCTTGTACCTTGCTGCGCAACTGTTGATGAATTTTGGGTTGTGTCCTGGCTACCCTCCTGTCTGCCAAGCAAGTGTCACTGTATTCCAGTTCCTGCCTGGTGATCTAGGGTCATCTGGTTCCTGCAAACCCAGCTGGGACTACCTGCTACACTGGCCCTCTGTCAGTGATGGCCAGTGACTGGCCCCCCCGTCATCACTATCAGCTCGATCTCCACCAGGTGCATGACAAATGTAAAGCACAGCAGCCGGTTCCTTCACTGTACACTCATCATGTATCTATCATATACTGTAAGTGTAATTAATATTTCCGTACTGCAGCTTTAGTTTAATAAAAGACTTCGTGGGGAAGAAAAATCATTGTGGTTGCCCAACTGGTCATTGAAGTTATTATAAACATTCCTCCAGTGTTTATATATCAGCTATTATGCTCCCACCTTGGTAACGTTAAACTGGAATACTCCTCTGGGATCATCATTCTCCAGGATTGTTATTTCACAGATTTCCTCCCCAGGCCTTTTAAGCATTGGTGATCCACTTGATACAGAAGTATTCACAAACTGGACATCAGTAATGTTCAAGAGAAAACCTTCATTTAACTCAGGGATGTTATCCTATAATGAGAGGGCTAAGAATGAGATAGGAAATACTGCAAATGCATGGTAAATATAAGAATTGCATTTAATGAAAGCTGCAGCACTTCAAGTATAACTAAGGGTAAACTTTTTTTTTAAGTTTTGGACAGGGTGGAGAGGAATTAGAACACATGTCAAGTTTTCACTGCTGTCTGTGCCTGTTAGGGAGATTTACCCTCCCTGCGTGTCATATGTACTGTTATCACTAAAAGTGAAATTGAAAGAAAATCCAAAATTATGGGTTGCCCCTGAACAGTAATGGCAGAGAAATCTTTCAGTGGGGTCATGGGGACAACTGTTGTGGTGACCCTGGTGACAACAAATGATTCCCCACTGTGGAGGGATATCCTCTCAATTTCTGTTTGGCTATGGGATTGGAAGTGAAGATAAATCTCCCCAAAGGGACACACATGGCAAAAAAACTGACATATGTTTTAACCCCCCCGTTCTCTATCCAACATGAAAAAAAAAATTGCCTTTAGTTCTACTTTAAATTGACATCCTTTCATGAGAAGATTAAGTTTAAAATAATGCAGGAGGTTGCCCATTGTCTGCCTGTCCAAAGCTGTAATTACAACTAACAGACAAGGAGGAAACACAACATAACAACAGCATATTTTGTTATACATGAATATTTACCCCTAATGTAGCAGCTAGCAAAGCAATTAAATTCACAGTTCCACGAACGGTATAATACACTACATTTGTGGTGTCATGGCTTTATATGGTAAAGGACTTTGTTTATAAAGTGCATAAAGAAGTGTATAAAGCTGTGTTTTTTAAATAATTTGCCATTGCAACTGTTGAATTAGCAGAATTCAGAATTCCCCAAAAGTGCCAAAAAAATATAAGATCTCTGTGTAGATTTTTTATTTCATACACTCCTGATCCTATTGTCTTTTGTCAAACCTCCTACCCTATTTCACAGGAAGACCTTAGAACACTACCAAAATAAGACATCATTGCCTTTACACAAGTCAGACCAAGACTAGGGGTGGAGAAACTGAAAGACTACTTGCCCACTGTGCATTAGTACACCCAGCACTGATGACTAGTGTAGCTCTATCCCCTTATGGGTTGCTGAGTTTTGGGTCCCCCTAAAGCTCTGCATAGCTAGGGAACACGCATTTTCTTTCACAGTTTGCACACTGGAATCAGTAAATAGTCCTTGAGCTTGTTTTTGTTGTTTTTTTAAGGGTCAACATCTTGGATGGGGTCTAGGTGTATACGGGATGCTCAAGGAGACTGTAAACTCGAGGACAACGTAGAGCAACTGTGAACAAAAATGTGGACAAAAATAGTGTCTCCTCTAAAAGCATCCAAAGCTCTTTGGTGTACTTCCTCAGGCCCTAGATGAATCCTCCTCTTCACCCTTCTGCCTGAGGGTAATCCCTGGGCAAGGGGGCCCAAGAACTGTAGGTTTAGAACAGTACTGGATGTGGACTAGTTGGGTATTGCATCTGACCACCCTCTCCTCTTATCTGGCTCAAGGGGCGTAGGAGTACTCACTCTGTCTTTCCCTGTTTGCCTAGTAGGTTGGTGGCTGCCTTCAGGCCTTATGCTGGGATGGATCCTTCTCTGCTTCACAGGCCATCCTCCCAAGAAGACGATGGGACAGAGGAGATCCTCTCTTCCAGCAAATGCCAACAGGTAGGCCCCCTCCCTGTGGCTCCTTCCCAGGCCCCTCACTCCAGCCTTCCTCTCAGTCCATCTGCCACCTGACACTGACCTGCTGCACAGGCTCTGCTGCTTTTAAGGATTGCCTTGGTCACCATGCCTGGCCTCCTGCCAGGGGATTGGCCAAGGTCCCTCCTCAAACATGCATATCTGGCCTTACTCCACCCCTCTTTTAGAAAGTTCTCTAAGTTTCTGAAAGAGTGGGAGGGCTCCAGAAGTCCTAACCTGTCAGAGCCTCCCAGCTTTTCCTGAGGTGAACTCCTGCCTCACTCACAGGCTGACTCATCCCAGGCTGCTACTCAGCTTCTGCCTAAAAAAAAAAAAAAAAAAAACAGCCTATCTAGCTAACCTGGAGGGTGTTCAACTAGCAAAGAAGAGCAAATTGTCACCCTATTCTTCTGTCAGTTTAGTTCCAAGAGAAACAATGTAAACCAGTGGCCAGAAGTGGCCATTGAATCCAAGTCATGGCCACTGCATATGTTTATGTTTACTAAACTGTTCAATCCAGTACATTATCTCAGACCAAGAGTTTGGTAGGCACCTAAAGGGGGTCAGACATCTTGTCCAGCAACACCTTTAATGCACCTTTTTTGCACATTAACAAGTATTTAACACACATTTACTTACAGGTAAGATGATGAGTTTTACTTGAGCAAACATGCTGTTCTCCCTGATAATAATGATCCTATCTTTAATTGCATAATCTTCATTTTCTGTGGCTCTGTTAACAGGTGGCAGGGAGATGTTTTGTAGAGGTTGCAAGTAAACAGCAATATCACCCACCAATCCTTGTTCTCTAGTCACTTGCAAAGTGATGATGGTAGAATTTCCTGTTTGGATAAAAAAAATATCATATTAGATGTCATACCCTTAAAAGGCACCTGCCAGTGAGCTACGTATACAATGATATTCTCAAATTCCAGAACTGTTTACCAGGAACAGTGCCATCACACATAATAAAAATCAATGGATTTGGTTTTAGGACTCTGCAGCTAGTATGCACACCTGGCATTAGTGAAAAAATCAAAACCTTGCAAATGTATTCATCTGGATAACAAGAACAGAGAGTCCTCATCTGGGACCTCCTCCTCTGACATGTTTCACTCACAAGGTTGGCCTTAATCATAGACCTTTACAAATATGAAATAAAGTCAGAGTGTTGTAGAGCAGAATTCCTTAGACAACTTTAGGTCTGCCAGAGTACCTTGCCACTGGCTCACTTTGACTTACAACTGTTCGTCACAGTCAGTTGAGTTCTGCATAAGGTGGAGGCTTTAACTGGATGCTGGGAACATGGGGGAGTTGCATAGTCATTCTTAAATGCAAATTGCCCCTTCCTAAATCCTGAAGACTTGGACCTACTCTGTTTTTATAAAGAGGTAAAGCGCTGACATTTCCTATTAAACACTTTGGGGCTTAATTACTAAAACTGCAGAGTGTAAAATCTTCTGCAGCTCTGCATAGAAACTAATCAGCTTTCAGGTTTTTTTGTCAAAGCTAAATTGAACAAGTTGAAGTTAGAAGCTGATTGGCTACCATGCACAGCTGCACCAGATTTTGCACTCTCCAGTAAACCAACCCCATTGCATCTGGCCAGGGTCAGTGCTAGACTATTTTGTCCTGGCAAGACCAGCTACTTGCCCCTCCCACCAAAAAAAAAAAAAATTTCAAAATAAACTCCACACTGAGCTAATCCTTGCCAATGTTAGCTCTGTTTGGAGACTGACTCGGGAGAACTTGAAGTGATGTTGTGCGCAGCTGTTCGCTGATCTCCCTCCTTTCTACCGGTGGCATCCACCATGCAGGTCCCAGGACTGTTGATGGGAGCACAGGGCCTGGGAAGCATGGCAGGGAACATGGGGGAAGTGATCTGGAGGCTGCACAGCTATTGGATCATTTCCACCTGACAGTCAGCCTGTTAGATTTACACACAGTCTCAATGAGATGCTTCTTGTTAGTTTTTATTTACACTGAGCCACACTTTTACTGTCCCCTAACCACTCCCCATTATGCTGCAAAGGTACTGCCACCATTATATGGCAGCAGGGGGTTTTACACAACAAACCACCACTATTGCCATACTATGGTGGCAGTGCCTTTGCAGCATAATGAGGAGTGGTTGCGGGACAATAAAAGTGTGGCTCATCCATACATTTTTAATGTCCCTCAAACACATGTGTAAATAAGAACTAACAGGAAGAATCTTACTGTGCTTATGTGATCGTCATCATAATCATGTTGATGATCTCACAGTACAGAAGGTGCAGTATTTATGTCTGTTTACAGTGTATGGCTGTATCTCTGTCTGTGCCTCAGAAAACAGAAATTGTTTGCTTGCCTGTGCATCGGGTTCCCATTGCTGCCTGTGCCCTCGGCCACCTCTCTGTTGAATCACCTCCTGCCGCCGGGCTAAAGTCTCACCTTCCGCCCTCCGCAGCGGAGAAGGGATAATCACTCTGCCAGTGAAAGAATCACTAATGACAGTGAAAGGCTGTGAGCAGCCGTGGCCGGTTGTCACACTGATCAGCACTGCAAAATGTAGCGTGGCTTTAGCCACCTGCAACCAACATGAAAAAAAAAGAGTCCCTCTCTACTCTTCGCCTCCTGGGCCCTTCTGATGAACTGATGAGAAAATATAATTAATGTTACAGCAGGGCCGACTGTGATCAGTGGTCCTGGCCATGGCTACACCCTGGGTAGCTGCCAAGTTTGCCTAGTGGTAGCACCAGCCCTGTGTCTGACCTCCCCTTATTTATAATTTTTCCCAGGGTGTATAGATGTTGCACAAACCTTCTGGTTCAGTCACTTTAACTGATGATGAATTGACATTCCACCCAATTATTCCATGTGGTGAGTCATTGGGAAGGATGGTCAGCAAAGCCTTTGACCTGCTTGGGTCCAGTATTGCTCCTTTATTTGGATCCTTGATATTCATGGTAGTCGCTTTTGTCAGGATAACCATGACTGTCTCTGCCATCTCAGCAACGCTGTCTGCTAGAACTGTGACAGTGATTGTAGTGAGTGTCTGGCCCTCTGAAAATGTGACCTATGAACAAAAACATAAAAGGAATTATATGTTGTATGTCGGTAATACACAAAAAAACACATGCTCTCTTTTCCCATGTTTAGTGATATGAATCATGTTGTATACTGTTTTGTATACAGTACTAATTAATAACCACCAATTATCTACATTTTATTTGCTGACATCAAATATAAAATGGTTTAGTTCCACAATAAAGTAGTATTTCTTTGATATTTACCATATGAACTGTACGTGTTTGCCATCTTTTCATAGCACCAACTGGCTAAAAGTTTATGGGCAATTCAGGAGATCTCTCCTGTCTATTTTACCTGTTACTTCCAACATCTCTAGTACCATCTAATATTCATCACCAGGTTCTGTGTTTCCAATTTTGGAGAAATTACCAGCACCAATGGAATCTTATGTCACAGTCTTTAAACACTCTACATCTGCTTTGCAGCAGGAACTTCAATAACTGCATCCCACCCGACCACTTGTGATTATATGGATATTCTTTTATCCAGGGTTCCAATAGGTTCCCTTGGCAACTGTGCAGCAGCATAGGCTTCATGAGCATTATATCTTCCTGAGTCTACGCTTCGTGTGTCTTACAGGAGATGTAAATGCCAAATTCTACAAAATGAAAATTATTAAGGGACAAGAGCAAGAAAATTTGATTTTTCCAACTTTAATTTATCATTGGGCTTACAATTATCTAGTAACCTTTGCCATCTTGAAGTTAAGGCAGATTTTCATCTGTATTGCATCTCACCGTCAGTTAACATCTAAATGCAATAAGTTCCTTTTTTTAATCTTTCATATCATTTTACAGTGCAGTCATGCAACATCTAAAAACCCAAGCAGTATTTCATGGCAACTCTCTAAAAGTGTCTGTTAACTAAGATAGTGACTGACTAGAGTGGTAGCACGACTGTATCATACATTTCATTATGGTTAAGGTCTGTATGAAAAAATACTTCGTATTAAGTAGTGATTTACCATTCCTGATGTAGGAAAAATATCAGCTATACTGCCATTGGCAAACCACTCCACCACCACCAGTCCATATGTTCCATAGAGACGCTCAATACTGAAGCTGATCAGATTGTCCTGTTCCATCTCCTCTGCTTGTTTCATCAAAGAATTCTGCCATTAGAAGATATTAAATTGAAGACATTTGAAGATATTAAAAAATAGATCACCGTTGCCCAAAACAGTGTGATGTTCATTACAAATCATTACAAAACAAGATAATAATCATCACCTGAGAAAACCCGATGATCCCATGGGCATAATCATTGGATGGAATGATGACAGTCACATAGGAATGGACACCAATCTCTGAACCTCCTTTTGCATTTTTAAGTCTTACTCTGAAAGATTCATTTTCTTCTGGGATTGAGTCATCAAGAATATTAATTGCTATAGTGGCTTCACTTTGTCCAGGCTCAAACTTCAGCTCACCTGAACTAGCAGAAAGGCAGACACAGCATAACTTTAATACAATACCATGAATGACAGAAGATGGGCTCCAGAAATAATCACAGAGACAGGTCTGTCTTTGAAAGTTATTAGTATAAAAAAAAAACTCTTTGGCTCCATTTTATGAATGTGCTGGATTACATATGCAGGGATTACCTGTGCCAAGAGAATACTGCATTGGCTTTTAAAACTCTATTTTAGGATCTGAACTCAGTTGGAATTGCTGAAAGTTTTGCACAGACCCCCTATATGAAATGCATCTTCCAATATGCAATTCCTATGAGACACAGACAGCAACAAAACTTTACCCCCCATTCACACTAAGCCTTCGTTCACACCAATACAATTTGTCATGTGGTTTGACAGTTCAAAAACGCATGACAAGTCGCACCCTATTTTCAGAAATGGAATCATTCAAATTGTTGCGACTCAAGTTGCAGTGCTTTTCTGCAATTTCATTGTGGATTGCATTGACTTCTGTTGAATGAAGTTGCAAGCTGTAATGATCCAAATAGTACTTATCTGCAGCTTTGCAGTTGCGCCGAAGTAGCGTGATTTAAAAGCTGCACTGGTGTGAACCAGGGCTTAAGCATTTTTTAGCTTGTTTCCCTATGCCTAATTATACTGAACATGTAGAATCCCATTCTTTCTAACTGCACCTCTTCACAGTTGTAGGCTCAGTTGCCCTATGCTCTACACCTTATGCGCAAAAAAAGTACACAAAAAAAGTATTCAGGCTTAATTTGCCCTCTAGACTTCAATGGATGTGCATGCAAACAGGTGAAAAATGTTTTTACACACAATTTTACACCTGAAAACACCCTCTCCTCCTCTAGAACTGATCACCTCCCCTTGCCCAGCCAAGAAAATAAGCACCTGAAGCTTCCACAAACAAAGATGATTCGAGGAATGAGCATTAAACACACAGAGTATAGAATCAGAGATCTCTGGGACAAAATTGCTCCTAGAGGTAAAAAGCACAATAAAAATTTGTCAGAATGCTCAGAAGCACAGTTCTTTGCCTACAGTAGTTTGATATCTTAAAAAAGTATCTGCATATTTTTGGACAACAAAGTGGATTACAGTATCTATGATCACAATGCCTTCTTGTCTGCAGTGAGTCAGATATTCCTTTTTGAGTTAGCAATATAAAAGTTACATTTTAGTCCTTTGAACATTCAGTCTTGGCTTTAAAATTCTGAGTTTCCTGGCTTTCAAAAGCCAATGGGTGGACAAATACTTCAACATCCATCCAAAATTGTGTACATTTGGCCTTTAAACCAAACAAGATACTTGTAGAATGCCATATAAACACACAAATACATTTTCTATGACATAAAGTAGGTAGAAGGCATTAATAAACTAGTGTCACATCATCACTATGCAATTTGCACACGCCATCCTACATTGCTCACCTAATCCATAGCTTGCTGCTCTCAGGTTTGTTCCTCAATCTCCCCAGGGAATTTAGGGGTTTTGTACATATTTTATATATTTACTTACTATGGTCACTGCTACATGTTACTGTACTACAGTAAATATCATAGAGCTAAGCCTCTATTCTAAACTTAGTGCTACTGGGTTGTACTCAGCCTAGGCCTGATTGATGGTTCTGCTTTCTGTAGGTTTTCCTCTCAATTCAACTTACTGTTTGCCTGCTGTTGAGGAGTATCCCTGTCAATAGTATAAGAAGATCCAATAGACTGAATTTATGAGTATTTTTATCTCTCTTGACCAACCACTAGGACATTTATTGCCAGTGGTGCAGGCTAGGGGAATGTTTAAATATCCTGGGTAACCTTCTAAAAGCTCTCCTGCCTCCCAGACTTTACCTGGGGTGCAAGTGGCTTCAACTGTTGTTTAACCTCCCAGGTTTCCTACCTGAGGAGGAAACATGCTTGAAAAAGAAAGGGCTGAGGTCAGTGCATACTTGCACTGTCTTGCTGGAGGGTTTACCAAGGAGGAGTGAAGGTGGATCAGAGCACCAGGTAGGAATTACGTCTGCTGGAAGAGTGTCAGGAGAAGCTGGGTAAGAACTTGGACCAAGCAGGAGCCTGGTGGCTAATCCAGGAGGTTCATGTGCTGCAACTGCTCTACCAGCAAGAAAAATACAGAGTGCCGGTCTGGCTTAAATGTCCCTTTCTTTATTGCCCTTAAATAAGCTGGAATTCTGTGTATGGTTCTTTCCCAGTTTCCTATGCCATAATGTCTCTCTCCCAGAGTTTTCTGAGAGGAATAAATAAAAGATACATTCTGTTAACCCTTTCAAAAAGCAGAGGCTTCTAGTTCTTCCCATCCCACAAAAAGTCAAGAATCCAATCCTGAGGTGAAATGTCATACCACCAGACCACTAGAGGGCTCTAGCAGCCTCAAGGCGGTAAGGAGTGCTACAAGGCTTTTTATCACTGCACAATTTTAACCACTTGAACTCTACTGAGGATTTACCCCCCTTAATGACCAGGCCTTTTTTTGCTGTTTGGCGCTGCATGGCATAATTCAACTGATAATTGCACAGTCAAACCCAAACGAAATTTACGTCCTTTTTTCACACAAATAGAGCTTTCTTTTGGTGGTATTTAAACACCTGTGCGCTTTTTTATTTTTTGCGCTATAAACAAAAAACCCACAAAAAGTTTGAAAAAAAACTGTATATTTTACTTTCGGCTATAAAAAATATATCGTAAAACTCAAAGTTAGTCATAAATTTAAGCCAAAATGTATTCTGCTACATGTTTTTGGTATAAAAAAAAACAATCCCAATAAGTGTATATTAATTGCTTTGTGTGAAAGTTATAGTGTCTACAAACTATGGTATAGATAGTGTAATTTATGCCATTTTTTGCTATACATAGCTGCATTAGTTTAATTGACAATTGTGCGGTCATGCAATGCTGTACATAAATGAAATTTATGTCCTTTTTTTCCACACAAATAGAGCTTTCTTTTGGTGGTATTTGATCACCTGTGTGCTTTTTATTTTTTTGCACTATAAAAAAAGAATCCTATAGGCCTCTTCACTAGTGTACCTTTGGTTGGATATTTTGGCCACTAAATTTACAGGTACTTAGTGCGACTCACGGGAAAAAGAGCGCCTGGCTGTCAGGGACTGCTTGAACCACTACAAAAAATTTACCGACAAGTGCTAACAGAGATCAGAGGCCTGATTCTGTGAACACTGCGGTTTTGTGTGTAATGTATCAAGTGACAGTTATCTACTGACACTGCACGTGCTGGGGGAGAAGGGAGGGGGGGCGTAGGGGCTAAACGCATGTGCTGGCAGGTGTCGGGGCTGATCCCGCTAACACTGCGTTTTTGGGGATACTATAGTAATGTGAACGTTGGTATTGTGCTGATCTGATCAAAGATACTGATCCAATCAGACACTATACTAGCAATGGAGGTTTAGCGTGCAAGTGAGCGTGTTCCTGGCAATCAAGGGGTCAAATGTGATTAATGGTGTACTAGCGGCAATCTGACGCTATCTGGGAGGGGCGCTAACTGATGCTAACACTATCGGACGTAAAAAGTGACACTAATACAGTGATCAGTAAAAATCTGATCACTGTAATCAATGACACTGGTGACAGGGCAGTGAAGGGGTTAACTGGGGGGGGGGGGGGGGGCGATCAAGGGGGTTAAATGGGATTACTGGTGTACTAGCGGGCAAACTGGCGCTATCTGGGAGGGGTGCTAACACTATTGGAAGTCGCGACACTTGGGGACGATCAATCAGGGGGTTAAATGTGACCTAGGTGTGTTCTAACTGTAAATGTGTAGTGTTTTACTCATGTTTACTGTGTCTTCTCTCTCTGGGACGGAATGTGTCCAGGCAGAGAAGAATGACATCATATCCTGTTCTGTGTAAATGTCAACACAGGACAGATCAGGACTGGGACTGATCATCCGATTTCACGCGGACATCACTGGCTGAAACTGAATGATTGATCCCTTGGGGATCAAATGGTAAAAGCCGTGCCCCCCCTGCCCTGCGAAAACCTCGGGAGCGTGGATCACGTTTAAAAACGTGCTTTTGAGCAGCCGTGCCGCCGTTATAATACAGTGGCTGGGCGGCAAGAGGTTAAGAAGTTCTCAAATGACAAGCTTCATGAATACAATATTTACCTCAATCTTACTATTAAACTTCAGCTTGCACTTTAGCTACAAGATCACTGACAATTAAGTGCTTCACCTTCTTGCTGTGTTTAAGAGATGCTACAATCTTTTCTGCTGATCTAACAGTCAGATAACATAGTAAATTACATTTGTTTTATTGCTACCGGAAAGTAAATCTATGTGGGGAATTTATCAGAACTGGAACAGACAGAATCTGGAGCAGCTGTGTATAACAACCAACGAGCTTCTATCTTCAGCTTGTTCATTTAAAGTGGCTGTAAACCCTTACATATACTCAGTGAAGTGACTAGCCCCAGGTGATACACAGAGTTGAATCAAATCATCCTGAATAAGTTGTACCTGTTTATCTGTAACCATATCTGTACACCCATTCAGAGTGCAGAATTTACATAGAAATTCTCAGCTCTGAAAAGCAGGGGGCAGGGAGCTGAGATTACATCAGTGAGGAGAGCTGAGATCTG